AAAGTTAAAAAATCATGTTTTAAACCCACCTATCCTTGTTCTAGTCTGTGTTTTTCACATATTATGCTAGCGTAAAACATAGTTTTTGGGCACATAACATTTTCTAGTTTGTAATTTTTGTAACAACAAGTGTTATCTTAAATCAAGGTTTTAACACATTTCCTGTTTTTAGTCTGTGTACAAAAAAACAAGCTTACTTTAATGTTTAATGTTGCTAATAGTCTGTGTTCTGACATATTCATTGTTAATAGTTTTCTGTTATTATTTTGGAATTGAATCTAATAAAAAAAATATCAATTCCAGGTTCATGCCCAGATCCATCCTGTTGTGGAATCCCTATTGAGACACTGGTGAACTGGTTTCCTAAATGAATGAAAATGCCATGGATACTAGTTGATAAGGGTCTGTATTTGTTTTTGTATCAACTTTGGAAATAAGGTGAGTAGAGAGTCCTACTTTCCCTACTTTTTAGGGCTCTGAAAATCCCTACTTTTCCCTACTTTTTTAAACAAAGAATTCCTACTTTTATCCCTACTTTTTTGTTATTGGCCACTTGAAAGCCTGTTATTTTAAAATATTTAAAATAACTGACTTCCTGTTCATAGACTTTGCCTTATTTCATATTACCTGAACTATAATCTGGTTCCCTGTCCAATTATGGTTCCCATCAATGTTTTCTGGCGAGTGGATTCAATTTAGATATCAATATAAAACATGAAATGGCGGTAATAAGGTGTGTGGTTGTGTTGAGTGCGGCCCGAAAGTGTGCCAGCTCTATGTGTATTGAAAACATAAGACATGTCATAGCCGCTGATGGGTTTAAATAACAATGTACATGTACTATTATTTCTGTCAGAGCTCGCTTTGAGGCTTTGCCTTATTCATATTAAAATTGGCATAGAGCCAAACCATCCTGTCCAGTGCAACTTGCAAATCTTTATGCTATTGTCTGCTCTATTTTAGCATTTCTATATTAAAAATAATAATTTGTGATTTCAAACCAGCAAAATTGAAATGTTTAGATCTATTGCTTCCAAGTAGTATCATTGTTGCTTGTTTAACATGATGTTTATTTACTGGTAATTATCTGTATTGTTTGATAGAAAGATGAAGAAGATGATGTATATCAGATGGTGGACGAAGAGGAATATTCAAAAATTGTCCGACAACGTCAGGAAGAGGATTGGATAGTTGATGATGGTGAGATAAAATACATTTTTGGCAGTCCTATCATATGCTTTTAGGCCAATTAATCCCGAAGAATATATATTGTTATTAGAAACAAATCAAGTTTTTTTGAATGATGGAAAAAAACTTAGTGAAACTATAGTATATGAACATGTGTATTGTATTTCTGATGGATTTTTTGTGGCTGCCACCAACATGAGTAAATGTAATGCCAAAAACTTACTAACCAGTAATTAAGATGCTTCCTTTGTAGCTGTCAGGGTAACTATTAATTTAATTAAAGAGGAAAAAAGACCTTCATTTAATATACATATTTGAATATGGTATTTAGTATGGTGCTTCTAGGGACCTCCTAATATGATTCTAAAGACATGTATCAAGTTTCGACTGAATACCTTCAGTAGTTTCAAAAATAAATGTTGCATGTAACACTCACTCTTTTTAGTCTCACCCAGTTATAATTAACCTATTGACTTTGAATTTTGTAGATGGGAGCGGTTATGTTGAGGATGGAAGGGAGATATTTGATGAAGAGCTGGCAGATGACCAGTTTGCCAAACCAGACAGTGAGTAAACAAAGAGAATATTGTGCTTAGTTTTGCTTGTTTATCATAGTTTACCAGGGTTTTATTTTTTGGCTTATTTTATAGCTGTTATTGGGTCATATTCCCATCTGAAAATAGTATATTATTTTCCCAATCCACAGGAAAAAAATCCCAATTGAAAGTTGAAAAATAAAAGTATTGAATAAAAATTCTAAAATCTTTGCAAATAAGGACTGTAATAGTGCTTTCATGTTTGAAGATGCCATCATAGACAGTAATTGTTTGCATTCATTTAATCACTGCAAAATTTCAGTCATGCATTTTTACCCCATTTTTAACAAAACACTGCTGAAATTCCCAATTCCATGGGTATGAGTCATGTTCCCAAAGTCCTGGAAAAAATCCCTGTTTACAATCTTATATATAAAACTACTCGTAACATGTCTGAGATAAAGGATTTAATCATTCAAAAGACAAAGATGAACCATATAATTATATATGACATAAAGTATTTGCCCAGTCAAATTGGCTTAGGCTATAAATAGATTTTCATACTTTTCCTCATAGGAGGGCGATATTATTAGTGTTTAATGGTGACATTAGAGAGCAGTCGTGTATGAAACCAAGATTTATTTTATGTATTGTGTATTTTATAGAAAAAAAGGAAGACAAGAAGAAAAAGAATCCCAATATAATGAGACCCGGATCAAAACCAAAACAAAATATAAAGTCAATGTTTATGGCACAGGCAGCTACAGGCAAGAGGAAGCCAGAGGTAACTTTAATTGCAGGCATTATTTAGCTGGTCTATTAAAAGAATAGGGAGAGTTGTTGTACTAGCCCAGGTGACGGTGTCAAATTTTGGTTACATTTTTGCTTGCAAGTTGGTATCCCCAAACTACTCTTGGGATTAGGTTGAAACTTCACACACCTATTTGAGAGAAAAATAGGTCACTATTTAAGGCCTGTAACTTTTAATTTGGATTTTGACAAAAGTATATTTTACATGTAATGATAAATCAGGCTCTTGTTTTACTTTCAAGCTGTTGTTAAAATACTGAAAGAGGGAAGTTATAAAGTGATAGCCAGTAGATGACCCTATTAATTTTTGAGTTAGAGGTCAAAAGTGATAATGTGTGAAATACTTATGCTTTTGGGTAATTTGAGAAGGAAAAGGCATTGATTTGTGACACGCTTGGTCGGACATTGACCAAGGCTAGTAGATTAACCCTATGATTTTTGAGGTTGTGAGGTCAGGTTCACAATAACAATAGAAAATCCTTGTTCAATCAATACGAAAAAATCTTCCTTGCCTTTGGAGAATGTCTTCACTTATCTTTGGCTGAAATTTGTAGAGTTGAATGATACTAAGTTGTGAGAATGTCAGTGGGAAAAACAGAACATTGATAGGGCTAAGATGAGGCTGAAATTTGGGACCCATTCCCTTTCCAGAAAGTGTATATTTCAGGGTTCCCACGCTGTCGCGGGAAAACGGGAAATGTCCGTGAATTTGAAAACAGGAGCTCCCGGCCTTGAAAAGTCCGGGAATTAGTTGTTGATACATAAAAAAGTCCGGGAAGGTACGGGAATTAGTCTGGTAAAGGGGGAGGTAAATCAAAACAACCAAAATGGCGGTCTTGTATATTGACTTCTGCATCTTGAATGTTGATGATTTTCGATTTACAAGTGTTTTAGGAGGCCAAGTTTTGACATTTATGAGATTTAAACATTTATTTTCTGGTTACTATGGCAGTTTTGTTTTGGAAAATGTTGTAAGACAGTCACAAATCGGACCACAAGTTTGCTTGATTGGCCCGTGCTAAGAAACATGAAAGCTCACAGGTCTGGTTGTTTCCTTGGGCAATTTGTTTAACCTTATTGCTTTCACAACCATGCTAAAAGCCAAAGGTAAAATCAATATAAAATAAACAATAGTATTACATACATGAAACTATTGTCAAGCAGAGCACAGCCAGTTGGCCACACCATATTTGGGTAGCAAGAAATACCCAAATATTAGCACAATATACTAAAAATGAATGTGTTATGCTAAAAAAAGTGCTGTTTTAATCATGAAATACAATATACACTTTCACGTAAGATGTAATCGAACATACCCAAATTTTCCATTTTTGAAACCAAAATATACCCAAATACAGTATACTCCATGAAAACTATTAAATAAAAAAAATAATACAATGAACTTGTATGAAATTACAACAAAAATTATACCCTTCAAATTTAAATGTAGACAACAAATCTCATATCTTGCAAGTACATTTGTCTATTCATTAATGAACCTAACAGTTAGAAAAGCAAATGTCACTTTTTTTCTTACAAACATCTGAACTATTTCAACGGAATGAATGAAAGTAATTGTTGGTAAGTCACATTATTTTTGAAAATATCAATTCATTTCTCATTAAAATCTATATTGTATACAAACCAAAATGAATATTGCTATAATTGTGTGTTTTGGGTATTTTGTGCTGCTGCCATATTTTGTAGAACCCGTAGCACTGGCTTAAGCAGAGTACAACATTTAAACATGAAAGTCTGTGAAATTTTTAATGTAGAAACACCTGCAGGCAGTTTTCATATACCCTTCAGTGTGACATGCTTTTGCCATTCTATGCACCTAAGTGGACTGAGGTCAAATGTGAGGTTACTTATTAAAGTACTATGAATATCTTGTAAAAAAAGTGATCCCTTGGAAGCATTAAAAACACCAAAATTACATGAAAATTGCAGACAACCTGCAACAGTTGCTGTCACAAAGTACATTTCATTACTTATAGACACTGAATGTATTTCTTAGATAGAGTTAGATTTATGTCATGAACTACATGTATTATATTGTTATTAAATGTTGTTTTAAACATTACCATGAAAATATTCATAGGACAAAAAAATTGAATAGCTTGAAATTCAATCTTCTAAAAAGTCCTTAAAAAATCAAAAAAGGTCCTTGATAAGTCCTGGAAAAGTCCTTAAATTTTCAAAATATCTAAGAGTGGGAACCCTGATATTTACCCTTATTTCTGAAATATCTATAAACTGCAGCGTTATTTATTAATTAGTGAACATGAAATATTTATTTTGTGATTTGTGTTTTCAGTGTTATTTATTGATGTGCTTTAAAAATGAAAATGCTATAATTTTTATAGAAAGATGTCAGTCTTAAAGGAGATGAACTATTGGGTGATTTGATGAATGAGCTGCACAGTGGACCATCAGAAATAGCAATACCTAAATCTGTAAAACTTACAAAACGACCACTAGTTCAACAGTCTGCAAGGTATAATCAAACACTTAAAACTTAAGAATGCTATTGGCAGTTATGATGTGCTAATGTCACCAGATATAAGTCATGGCAGCCTGCACATCTGTGTTAGCTGCTTAGTTTTAAACTTCTGTTGATATAAATCCATTGTCTGATTGAATATGGATGTTGAAATCCACTGAATATCGATGTTGAAATCCATTGAGTATGGATGTTGAAATACATTGAAGATGGATGTTGAAATACATTGAATATAGATCTTGTAATCCATTGAATACGGATGTTGAAACTCATAGAATTTAGTCTTTATTTAGATGTTGAATCCATTGATTATAGATGTTGAAATTCATTGAATATGGATGGTGAAATTCATTGAATATGGATGTTGAAATCCTTGAATATGGATGTTGAAATACATTGAATATGGATGTTGAAATCCAATGGACTGTTCCAAATATAATGCTTGGAAAGTCCGTTATGCAAATTTAGTTGTGTAAGGGTTAAATGATATTGATTGAAGACCAGACTTAAGAATTCAGGGTACTGTCTGCTGCAGAAGGACAAGTGATAATCATAATTTCAATCATAAGTTTTAATTTTCACATGCTGCCATGGGTTTTTCTCACTTAAGTGTGAAGAGGCCTGGATTTAGGAAAAACTAGCTAACAATGCTAATTTGGGAAGTTAAAAAGCTTGTGTAAGTTTATCTTTTTTGGGGGAAACTGCATTGTATTAAAGAAAATTTACAATGGGAAGAGGCCTTTTAATAGACCTCTGTTTTATAGGGGGGAAATCTCTGAATTGCCGAGTATATATTTTTTTCATTACTTTAACATAAAACATAACTGAGAAAAACTTGTTTAGATGGATAAAAAAAATAAATAGTAAGTTGTACTTTTTTGTGACATACATATATTTTAATTTTAATTTATTTTAGATCCCCACATATGCCGTTTAGTACAAGACCAGTTAAAATTGGACCAAAACCAACATCTAGTGGTGACAACACCTTTAAAGTAAAGGTATATGTTGTTTACTTCATTTTATTTAAGTATTTTCTTAAGAAAACAAAACAAAAAGTTAATTCATGACTTTGTCTGAGTAATGCTTACATGAGGGAAAGGCAATAAATTTATTGACTACGTTCTAATTTTGGAAAATTGTTTTTTATGAGCTTAGTTCAAATTGGGATTGGTTTGAATTTGAGAGAAAAAGCAAATCGGTATTAGTTAAAGTTGTGTTTAAAAGTAGCCTATTCCATCTTTAAAATAAACATGATTATCAGCAAGGCAGTTTTGAACTACTTTGAATAAGAGATTATAACGGTTCTTCAAAAGTAGCTGTAACTGCAATAATACTGCCTAAACTTTATCAATTTTAACATAATTATACATTGTATATTGTAATTTCCTATGTAAGGTACCAAATATCAGTTTAACACATTAATGTTTCCATGGCAACAGGGCCTACCAAAGCCAGTTATAAAGACAGAGCCTATGGATGAATCACCACAGATTGAGGAGTATGATAGTCAGCCAAGTCCTGTGGTGGGAGATGAGAAAGAAAATATTGAGGAAAATTTTGAAGGTATTTGTTCATCACTTGTGAAATGAATGAGAATATAAGTTATCTTTCTAACAGTAGATGGTAGACCAAAAAAAATCACAGAGGCTCATATAATTATTAAAGTACAATAAATTTTTTCGTTTGATATTGGATGTAATATTAAGTGAATCTATAGTAAGTATCTTTTAACTTGCAGCACACAAAATAACCAGAAATTAAGCTATTTATCATGTTTTTATGATTGGAAAAGCATTTAAGAAAGAAATAATCAGATTTTTTTTTTTTCCTTTTTCTTTTTAAAGATTTGAGTGGGATGGAGTTTCAGGATGATGACTTTAATGAAGAAGAGATGTCAGATGTTAAACCAGTCAAAGTTAAGCTGGAACCAGGCATTATCAAGCAGGAACCAGGACTCATAAAGCAGGAACCAGGAATTAAACAGGAGCCAATGACCAATATCAAAGTGAAAGCTGAAAAGATGTAATTATCTATTGTTAAATTTCATTGAAAAAAAATTTGTAGTTTTTGACGCCGACTTAAAATCATTTTGTTGCATTCAATGTTGTAGGTAGAAATCTTTAATGTGAAGAAGTAATGACTCAAGAAAGGTTTGTTGTTGGGCCATGGTTTGTTTTGTTGGCTTTTAAGCCGTCACTGCTTAGGTCATATGGTTACTAGTAGAGGAAGATCTCCATACATTATTACAGGCACAAGCAGGCACCGGTGTAGAACTATAAATATTACATAAGCTAGCTGGATAGCTTCCTCACATGAAAGAATCCAGAGTTTCCAAACAGATGCAAACCAACATCTGTAAGTGGCAAGTTGTTGAAAGTCAATGACTTTAACCACTCCGTCACAGATGCCTCCTTTTCAACCATGGTAGCCATGTGTTAGTGTCATGATTTATATACTGGAACTTTAGGTCTTTTTGTAGTAATAAAGTATGAACGATTTTATATGGCATAACAGTATCTGCAATGTATTCACAAAGTGTAGTATGATATGTTACCAGTTTTAGAGTCTATTTTTGAGAAAGACTGAAATTTTTTGTTTACTGAAACCAGTCATGATTTGATTATTAGGTCTATTGAGTCAGTGACAACTGGATGGGATAGTTTCCAGGACAACAGTTCAGCCAGTCAGACTGACATTCAAGTTGATACTTCACAGATTCCTATGATTACCAAGGAAAATGGGGAACAGGTGCTTCGATTCTATTGGCTCGATGCATACGAGGACCAGTATAGACACCCGGGTTAGTGAAATTTGTAATTTCAGGTTTTTTGTAGAATGATGTCCTCATATAAGGAATCTTATCATGTTAGTTCACAGGTCTTGAGCTTGACTCGGATTCCATTTGTGCCTTAAAAGTGCACATATGGCATAAAAGTGTCTGTAAGATTAAAACTTAATATATATTGCCCAAATATTATTTTTACTAAAACCAAATTTACCTTAAAATTATTTTGGGTTTTTTAAATTAATACCACCCAAAAAAGGTAATCGTCCAAAGGAGTAGTTTACAATTTGCGTGATACATTTTAACAAGGATTATGCAAAAATTATACTTTTCAACTTTACAAAATACAGACAGTTTTTCACAAAAATTAAGAAAAATTGCAATTTAAATTTTTTTCCCGAGTTGAAGTACTGCTAAGTTTGTCTTCTATGTTTTAAATTTATATATTTTATTGTTTTTTTTATTTACCTGTTTTGTAAAATGGTTACAATTTTTTGCTTTTTCAATTTTCAGGAAGTCATTTTTTTGGAAAGGGTTTGGGTAAAAAGGGGCCAAAATTATGTAAGCTTTTTGTTGACATTTAAAAAAACTTTGAGAAACGATTTTTAAATTTTGCCCAGCCCTCAGTAATTTGAGGACAAATTTTAAATGTTTTTTTCCTTACCATGCAAATTTTTAAATTTGTTTTGCCCTTCTTTAATGGACAAACCCTTTTCTTTTTTAGGGAATTTTCCAATTTTAAATTTGTCTAAATTGATTGCAAACTCAGGCATCAATCATTGAATCAGTTATCATGGTTGCACTGGTCATGGCTTAAGGGTGTTATAATCATCTTTTGAAATGCTTTTAAAAATCTGTTGTTTTTTCGCGTAGTTTAAAATACTTTTTTCCCTTTGCCAATTTTTTTTTTGTTTGGTAGCTGTTCCCCTCAAATAAAACTAAAACCCTGCATGGGTAAAATCAATTTGCTGCTGAAACCTTTGTGTTAAAAAACAATCCCAAAATTTTAAAAAGTTTTGCATCATTGGGGGGAGGTTGAGTGTTCCAGTATAATTCAGAAACATTCCATTGTATGCCTTTTCAAGCACAATCATGTGCCAAGCCAAAGGCTAGATATTTCTAGAAGTTCATAGCTTCCATTTGTTCTGCCGGTATTTATTCACACAGATTTCAGTTTAAAACTTTGTGAAATATTACAGGATATTCATTAATTGTATATTACAGAGGATGTGTATGAAAACAAACACAGATACAGGTTTTGAGGTGGGAATGGTGGACGTATACACAGAATTCAGTGAAAAAATTGTCAACAGATATAAAATCGGGAAATTTAAATCAAAGGTAAATACACATGAATTGTTGAATCTTTAATGTGTAATTATGGTCTTTGTAGCATTTTTTGAATAAATTAGAATGGTTATCTACACATGAAGGAACCTGTCTGAAACAAATCTTTTGGTTTATACAGAACTTATTTTAGTGTGATTGTGTAGGAAGCTACAAGGTTATAGACACACTTTACAATCCCTTCTGACTACTTAGCAATGTGTGTCAAAACTTGCCCCTGTCAATGTTTTTTCCAAATCTTTTGTCAGGAATATTAAGTCATTTGTAACAGTAGTGGTTCTAACATGAAATTCTTAGTTCTTTCTTCATATATAAATTAGAAATAATATAAGGTAAATATTTGGTTACAGCCAACCTCGAAGAATTATGCATTTGAGATAACAGATGTACCAGCAGAGTCGGAATATCTAGAAATCAGATATGAGGTAACAGTCTATAGTTTATTAGGCTTATTTAAATGTAGTACTGCACAACTGTAATTTTCTGATCAATTTGTATCACTAGTGTTGATTATGTAAAGTTGTTTTCCCAGAATTGTGTCATGAGTCCTTATGACAACTGTGACTAAAACTTCATTAAGGATGATACAGTTTACCATAAAAGCACATTCGTGTAATTTTCCCTTTATGTAAATCTTATGTAAAAAAAATTTGAAAACCAAAGTTGTTTTTCAATCAGAATTGAAGAATGTATATAATGTCATATTTTTGACTGCTCAAATCAGCAGAACCATGTGTAAATCAGGCCCCCATGGTTACACGTTTAAACGGATTCGTTTGGATTTTCATTCGTAAACGTTTACGATATTGTTTACCGTTTAATCGAAATGACCATATTATCTTACAAATATCTTGATCATTGCCTGTCATCATGGATTTTATCAATTCTATTTGGTTTATTCCAAAGTCAAAATTGGAAAATGGGTGTTTACAACCTTCCACACAGCATTGCTTTGCAATAATCGCTCATGACATAATACATGTTTTGTAAATTTGATTTTTCTTTGATCTTTCAAAAGAGTGAAATGGGGATTCAATGCAGAAAATGTGTGCCGACACAATTGTGATGACCCTTGAACATTATTTATTTGCTTGTTTTGTACATGTGTTAAAAATAGAAAGTAAGTCATCATCTGGTGACTCGAATACATGATGTAGTAAAGTAGATAGAAGTACTACCGTTTAAATGGTATTGTTTTGGTTCTTATCAATCGTGTAAACGTTTACAAAAAATTGTAAACGTGGGAGCCTTAGTGTAAAATATGGACAAACCTATCAAAATGTCTATATTTCTATAGATAATGACTGTATTTTCAAAGTATACCTTGTTTTTATTAAACATCATTTTAATTGTTTGAAGGCATTCTGTGCCTCGGAAACAAATAAATTTTTCTATCTTTAGAAAGGGCAGAGATGAGCTTTATTGTTTTATTATGTTTTGGTAATGGATTTAGAGAATGATAGGTACTTATCACCTGAAGAAACTAGCCCTGCGTGTAAAATTATTGGTCATAAAGGTAGCAAAATGTAAACAAAGTTGTATTTTGACTTGCATACAAAATATTAAATCACTATAACTTTAACTATAACTATATACTTATTCACAGATAGCAACAGAAGCAAAGTATGATTAGTTAATTGGCCATTGAGTTACTTTTTTGGAACCTAGCAAGATACCAAATAAAAAAACTTTTGAGAAATATAAAAAAGCATTTCTGGGGCATAATTGGTCTTTAATGATTCCTGAGTTTTTATTTTCAGGCAGATGGGCCAGTGTTACCAATGGATCTTAAAGGAGAGACATTCAGTCATGTATTTGGAACCAATACTTCTAGGTAATAACTGCGATAGATAACATTTTGTTTGAATTAAAGATCCAGTTTTTGCATAGATATATGACTACCACCTAATGAGGGCCATAGGCCTCATTGAATCAAAATGAGCCGCGTCACAACAAAACCAACGATATGCGTTTGCGACCAGTATGGATCCAGACCAGCCTGCGCATCCGCGCAGTCTGATCAGTATTCATGCTGTTCGCTATCAGTTTCCTTTGTTGTAATAGGGTTTGTAATCGAACAGCATGGATCCTGGTCTGGATCCATGCTGGTTGCAAACGCATAACATTGGTTTTGTCGTGACGCGGCACAAATGTTCTTCAATAGACCCTACAATGTATGTTTTATCATTATAACTTGTAAAAAAATTATTCTGCAGAGGTATGAGGGAACTGCACACAATTTAATTGAATCATGATCTGCAACTTTTACCTTAGATTTGAAATTTTAAGACAAAAGTGGTGGCTGCCAAGTGATTAAAGTGGATGCCACTCAATGCAGGGATAATGTGTTCAAGCTATGGTTCCTGATATGACACCAGAACTGGTTAGTCCCACAAAGTAGAGAAAGTATACTTAAGAGTGATACTAATGAACTACACAAATTCTTCTCAAGCTTAAATCATGGGGTGTCCGTGGCCAAGTAGTTAAGGTCATTGACCTCAAACCACTTGCCCATCACTGCTGTGGTTTGGAATCTCTACAGGAACTTTGGATTCTTTCATGTGAGGAAGCTATCCGGCCAGCTAACGGAATGTCGGTGGTTCTACTTAGGTGCTTGTTCATGCCTGAAATAATGCACAGAAGGTCACCTGAGGTCTTTCTCCACCAGTAAAGCTGAGAGTGGACGTATAACTTATATTATGTTTGTGTGATGTAAAATCCGACCAAATACAACTTAAATCAGTTGTGTTTAAACTAAGAACCTGTCTAAATGTTTGAGTTGCTGACATAGAGTATGCTTGTCTTTACAGCTTGGAAAGATTGTTAATAGATAGGAAGATGAAAGGTCCTGGCTGGTTAGATATTAAATGTCCACGTAAGTCACCTCTTTATAAATAATTGCTAAATTATGCTAAAAAATAAATTATGAGATTATAGTAAGTTGTTAATGTAATCTGAAAGCAGCATACCTCCATATTCATGCTAACTTAAATGAAAATTTTCAAAATGTATTTAAAAGGAAAAAATTATGAATTGAAAAAAAGAAGTAATTTACTCAATGAAAATGGCACTTACAATCAATGTTAATTTAAATTACGAAAAAGAGGTAAGAATATGTGCAAAAATAGCCCTTGCTGTGTAATTCAGGCAGTTGAAATATGAAGATGAGCACTACAAAATTGGTCATTAATCACACATAACTTGTAAATTATTATTTGTATCTTAAATCTTTTTACGTTTCTTAAAATCTAAGTACATTTTTCTTGAGTTTGATTTTCTCGAAGTATTTTGATTCATCTGGAGGGAAGCTTTAAAGCTATATTTAACTTTGTTGACATACTTACATCATTTTATATGTTAACTTTTTCAAAGAAAGCTAAGGTCGTCAATAACATTTAATAATGAATAATAGTAACATTTAGTTGGGTATTTTATAGATTATATTGTACTTTATTTCCAGAAATAACCAACCCTCCTGTAAGCTGGTGTAAGTTGGAGGTAAGTAATTCTTATGAATGCATTGTTACTTTCTGTTGCAAAGAAAATACATTTTAAATCACGATTTAAAAATTGACTTTCTATAGGCTATTCTTTAGCATATAAAGTCTCCTATTATTTCCTTGAAGACAATATATCTTATTTCTATCTTCAATTACCAGTGCGTCAAATTATAAAATTTCGACACGTTTACCTTATTTGACGTATTTTATTTGTAAAAACAAAGTTTATTAAAGTTACAGATCCCAGAAACACTCTATAGGTAACTTTCATTTCAGTAGTTTGAGTCAGTAAATTATCTTTTCCTATCTATACAGTTTCTCATTGTAATTCTATATATTTCAGGTATTTGTGACAGGCCCAGATGGTGTCACTGTATGCACAGATCAAAACCTCACCCCACCACCTCTCACAATTATGACGATGAATATGAGGACTCTACCCAACAATAAAACCCATCAAAATGAGGTAATGTAAACATTAACAGTTGTATGTCCCAACAAGCAGTATACCTGATTTCTCTTACTAAAATATCTATATTTTCTCCAACTTAGGGGATATTGTCTATTTTCTAGATTTAAAGTGTTCCATTGCTTATGGTACCAAAAATTTTGTTAGTTGTTTGATGAAGTATAAATTGTTGTAAGGTTTATATATTGCAAATATCATATATCAATTCACAACCATAAATTATGTCTAAATCCTTTATGACGAATTTATATTACTAAACATTGCGAGTTTTAAATAAATTATTTTCATAAATTTTCAGCAACTATTAATTTAGATTATATAAACATGATTGGCCAATGAAATGCAATGATACAAACTAGGCACGAAGGATTTGGGCTTGTTGAAGACTTACCAGAATTTAGTGATATGTGGATCTCTCAAATGTCCTCTGATGTAACGATTGTCTTATTTTATTTGTCAGATTGTGGCTGTATCGTGTTTGATTCACAATTCCTTCCATATGGATAAACCTGCCCCAGAACCAGCTTTCCAGCAACATTTCTGTGGTAACTATTACTGATAAATATGTATAATAAGTGGATTTTGTTTTGAAGTTAGACATTTTTTTAAAATTAATTGGATGATTCATATAATCTAATATGATTAAATATCCTTTACTGTCTCCCTGTCATGCCGTTTTTTTGTGGGCTTATTTGCTATTACCTTTAATGAGTTCTGTCTGTGATTCTATTTTACACTCAATGAAAGTTAATTTAAGATTATGACCAGATGAAAATTAAAATCAAATGTGCACACAAATTTATTAAAATTTTCAGCACATAAATTTATCAAAGTGTTTAGAATAACACAATAATTAACCATCGCTCTGAAAACATTTGAGCTGTGTCACGACAAAACCAACATAGTGCGTTTGCGACCATCATGGATCCAGACCAGCCTGCGCATCCGCGCAGTCTGATCAGGATCCATGCTGTTCGCTTACAAACTCTATAACAAGTAGAGAAACTGATAGCGAACAGCATGGATCCTGATCAGACTGCGCGGATGTGCAGGCTGATCTGGATCCATGCTGGTCACAAACCCATTATGTTGGTTTTGTTGTGACATGGCTTAAATTTTTTAAATTATGTTTCAGTTATTAGTAAGCCAAATGACTGCATATTTCCCTGGGACTTCAAGGACAAAGTTCAACGAGAAGTAAGTTAACTGACATATTAAGAGCAGATACATGTATGCTAGCATATGGAAAGGTTTATGGTTAGACTCTGGGGCCCTGTCTGAAATTTTTCATGAAGAAGATCTTGATTTTTCCTGAACTAGTCTAGAGGAAAATTGTGATTATAAAACCCAGTCCCATTAGGGCAAGGAGATTTTGATGCATAATCAACATCATCTTAATATTGTAATGCAAGCATATCTGGTATATTCCTCTCAATATAGAAAGTGTAAGACTAGGATATACACAATTAACTTCAACACTAATTGATATTTTAGTTAGAATAATTCTTTTATGAGTCATGTTTCTGTGAATTTGTTTGATTGCTACTCATTAAAATTCTTGCATAACTTTGTATCATGTTCAGTCATTTTTAGCTCACCTGAGCATGCTCAGGGTGAGCTTTTAGGATCGATGATTGTCCGTCGTCCGTTCACATTTAGTTGTTAACACTCTAGCGGTCGCATTTTTGCCTCAATCATCGTCAAACTTGGTCAGGATGCTTATCTAGTTGATAGCTTGGATGAGTTCGAACATGGGTCATCTCAGATGAAAAACTAGGTCACAAGAGTTAAAAATAGGAAAACCTTGTTAACACTCTAGAGGTCACATTTTTGCCTCAATCATCATCAAACTTGGTCAGGATGCTTGTCAAGGTGATAGCTTGGATGAGTTCGAACATGGGTCATCTCGGATGAAAAACTAGGTCACAGGAGCTAAAAATAGAAAAATCTTGTTATCACTCTAGCGGTCACATTTTTGACACAAGTGTCATCAAACTTGATCAGGATGCTTTTCTAAGTACTTGCTCGGATGAGATCTAACATGGGTCATCTCGGATGAAAAACTAGGTCACAGGAGCTAAAAATAGAAAAATCTTGTTAACACTCTAGTGGTCACAAATTTTGACTCAATTGTCATCAAACTTGGTCAGGAAACTTGTCTAGGTAATTGCTCGGATTAGTTCGAACATGGGTCATCTCGGATGAAAAACTAGGTAAAAGGGTCTAAAAGTAGAAAAATCTTGTTAACACTCTAGTTGCTACTGTTTTGATCCAAGTATCCTGGAAATTGGTCTGAAAGTTTGTTTTGATGATTTCTAGGTCAGGTTTGAATATGGGTCACCTGGGTAAAAAACAAGGTCACACTGCTCAAATATGGATAATCCTTGTTAACACTGTAGTGGTCACATTTTTGACTCACCTGTCATAAAACTTGGTCAGAATGCTTGTCTAGGTAATTGTTCGGATGAGTTTGATGGGTCAGGTGAGCGATCTAGGGCCATCATGGCCCTCTTGTTTTTATTCTCACAAAATACAATGGTACCTAAAATGATAAAAATTGCATCAAATTCCATGAAGTAAAACTTATTTTGATATGTACATGTTTGAATGTTTAAATGTTAACAATTAGTAGTTAAGAAATTGAAAACCAGTCAGGGCCAAGCTCTTATTTTCATAAGCAAGAAACTACACTCATTGCTTAGTACAGTTTAGTTCCAGGAACGGATTTGAGAGTGCTTTAATATGCTAAAATCTTACAGGATAATCAAACTAAACTAAATTCTTAAAAACTAAGGTGTTTATAAGAATGTAAGAGATATGAAAATATTAATATTAGAGCAACAACCAGTGTTATCTCTAAACAGTTGTGGACTGGCCGAGCACATATATTGGCAGTTTTATATCAAGTCTCGACAACCTCTCAGAGTCCTGATTATTTATTGTATATATTTCTATTATTAGAGTAAGAAGATGAAAGTTGAAGTGTTACCTACAGAGAGGGCTTTACTGGGGTTCTTATTGGCTAAAATACACAAGATTGATGCTGATGTTATAGTGGTAAGTAAATAGTTGTAAAAGAAAGAATCTGTTAAAATTGGCATAATAAAAAAAACAACAGACAAACAATATTGTTTTTAATGCCTAAAAGAATAAAGTTTTTTTTTTTTTAAATATATTTGATCCTAAGGGCATCAAGAGCTTTCTGAATAATCATAAGTTAGTATCTTATATAACAACTGATGTAACAGATACAAGTATATTTTTCAGGGCCATGATATATTTGGATATGACCTGGACGTATTGTTACACAGAATAAATGCTAACAAAATACCACATTGGTCCAAGATAGGAAGATTGAAAAGAACTGTGATGCCTAAACTATCTGTAAGTAGTTTTACATTTACAAGAAAAAGTTTTTTAAATAGATATTTACTGACTCCATTTAAAACTGTCCATTGCAAATAATTTGATTTTGATATAAAAAGAATGCTTAAATTAATTAGCCAATAGTAGAGCCAAAAACAGCATGTAAGATATCCTAGTTTTAGATTCTTCCCATTTTCTTTGAAATATATTCCTAGTTTTATGACTTGCATCTTAATGTGATGAGTATGAATATCATTCGGGATGCTGGGATTTCTTTCATGCAAGGGAGCTTTGCAGCTAGTGTACATTAGATTGATGGATCTACTTGGGAGCGGAGAGTGCACTTGATGTCATGGTCCAACTGTTAACCTGAAAATTCACCATATGACTTGTAATGTGTTGGTGGGGAAAAAAAATTCAGTTTTACTTACTACCATAAGTAACTTAATGAAATAATAATGTTAGACAAAGCTGATTTTCCCTGAACAGTGAGGCAGACCACTGCATCAATAAAGCAAATAAATTAGTTTTATGACTTTGACCGTGTGGATGGGACTTTAAAATTCAGCAACTGAATGAGATAATCTACCACAAGTAAAGGAATGAAATTATGTTACACAACAAAGCCAATTCTCATTGAATAGTCGGACAGACCACTCCACCAGGAAAGCTTATAAATTAGTTTTATGACCCTTATAGTGTGCCACTTTGAAATTTTGTAACAGATAATCTTGTTTTTACAGAGTCATGCTGGTAGAGGATATGTAGACAAATCAGCTACATGTGGACGTATTGTATGTGATATTAAAATCTCAGCGAAGGAACTTGTGAGATTAAAGAGCTTTGACTTGACTGAGCTGACATCACAGATTATTAAACAGTCTCGCGTTGATCTGGATTTTGAAACCATCAGAAATATGTACAGGTAGGCCAGTACCTTATTATCCTTGAGCCATTGCTATTAGATGTTTTATTATATAATTACTGTCCATTTGCTAGGGATATTGCTAGAATTACCAAAATAGAACAAAAATAAATAAGACAAGGATGCTTGTTTACATTATACAATACTGTATACCACTTATGGGGGAAAAAGATATCATTTGTTAAGCAACTTGTAACAAAAAAGATGGGGAAATGAAGAAAGTCAGGACAAAAAATCATATACCGGTATCTGATGGGTAAACTTTGAGCGAAAAGATTTCACACATCCTGTATGCAGTGAAAGAATTAACAGTGATATAGTAGACATCTTCTCAAAGTAGTTCAGCTTGAGAGTGAGTCAGTTGATATTTTGTAAAAAGAAAACAACACAAAAAACAAAAGTATTGTTTGTGAAAACAATTTTTCTGACAATGTGAAGACATATTTTTCTTGCAGTAATTCGGAGATGTTGTTAAAGCTGATAGAGATGACACTGGTGGACTCGAGTCATATATTGAGGATAATGTACGAGTTAAACGTCATACCTCTTGCCTTACAGATTACATCAATATGTGGAAATGTCATGGTATGTTATTCTAACACTATTCATGCTATCTCCTTATAAAATAGACTGAGCAGTCAATTGTATTATTACACAGTGATGTGAAGAATAAGTAGGGCTGTCATTGATGGAAAATTTTGTATTGATATATATCTAAAGCTGAATATAGAAGATATATCGATAAAATAGGGTCCAAAACTCTTAACATGATTCACAACAGAATTATGACCCCTTTTTTATGAACTAACAAAATTCTACATTATCCATGCTCTTGTTTTACTATCAAGCACGGGGAATAGTCGAGCATGCAGTCGTACTGACTTCAATGGAAATATACATGTATATTGCAAAAAGGGTCACATATTTTACAACATTGACCACTTCTGGCCCACCTACTTTGATTGAGAATTTTTATCCAAAACAAGAAAAATATGAATCAATTTTATATTGGCATGAAAATCAGCCAAACTATCTGTAGCAGGTGTGGAATTCTGATGTACAATTTTGTAGATATTTGTGTATGCTTGTATTAACATTTAACCTTTTCCCTGATACAGCCCCCTTAATTTACTGCTTTACACCCCATAATACAGTAGCCAGATAGATAATCAATAATCAATATCCTACTGATAAGGAGTCACACACTATCTCCATAAAGGGTATGATAAATTATAGGTAAAATTGGTCAAATTAGATACCTATATACTTTAACTGGAAAATAAAGTATTAAGTTGTGTTTTGACAATTTTTGTATCAATAAAAAGTTTGTAGAGAATTGAAATACCTTTCCAATGGTATAAATATCATATTTGTTGGGTTTATACAAATATGTCTACATGAGTTATAAAGTAATAAACTATATACTTGATGGTGTTTTTTTCTCCATTGTTTCAGATAGATTAGGCTACTTATGTGTTTTAACTAATGTGAAATGGTTTAATTACAAGTTTGACAATATATATGTCAATGTAAGATTTGTAGAGATTTGAATTATCTTTCCAGTGGTATAAATTTTATATTGTTGGGCTTTATAACAGTATAATTACAGTAGTTATAAACAATAAAATGATGTATAATTTTTCTCTCTCTTTTACAGGGATTAGGGAAATATGGCTAATTTATTATTAATTTTTTTGGTTTATGCAGCATTCATTTTTAGTGAAATAAATAACAGTCAAGTTCTTTTTTTTACCTTTTTTTATACCAGTAAAAAGAAATCTCACTTTGTTTTTTTTTATTTATTTTATAAGTTTTTTTTATAATTTATTTCATAATAGTAACTGTCATTTCTGTAATACATGTATATAACTGTTGAATGAAATATTTCAGAATTTCTGCTGTCATGGTCATATATTTTTCTTCATGAATTATGAATTTAATTAAATTTTATCATTTATAGATCTAATTTGATCAAATGATGATAAAGGAAAGACATCCTCGAGTTCCACGGCCTTTTCGGCATTTTCATGTTGCCGACATCAAAGATGATATATGGGATATGATTTTATCATGTCGTATAATACACGGCCCCATGCTGTGTCTGTTATGAAAACAATAGCGCACATGAAAGAATTTAAACTATTAAACATTTCTTTGTCGGTCATTTTTCTTAAAAAATCGCCGCTGCTACCGGAAATATTTATTGCTGGGGCCAGAGAGATACCCCTAGTCAGGACGTTAATTAATCCGTGTATATACACATGTCAGCTATCATAAACCAAAACAAACATCAAATCCATTATACCATGCCTGGCACGTGAACGACCCGTGATCATATAAATACTATTTATTCATTAGTTGCTATTTTTAGACACTTTTGTTCCTGTCTTACGATACGTTCTATATTTATTTCATTGACCGCGCACTCATTAACTGCGTGACGTAAGGAAAACCCCTCACCTGGTTGGTCGCTAATTATACAAAAACTTTAAATAGTAACACCATAATTTTATGCACGGAATCCCCTCATAAAATGTTGATCTTTACGATAACACAATTTACAGGTCTATTTTCCGGGAAAATTGTTGATTTTTGGACAGGTAAATATTGAAGTCGGCGAAAGTCGCTTCCATTGAGATCATGCATGTCGGCGATTCTCGCTTACATGCGGTAATCGATAAAGCCGTCGATTCTCGCTTCTATCAGGGAATGGTAAAAGACGGCGATTCTCGCTTCTATAAGGGAAAAGGTTAAACGTAGACACCGTTCAGGCTTCCATTTTCAATTTCAAGAAATTAAGATACCTTTTCTATATATATTTTAGAGTAGGACATTATTGGGAGGCAGGGCAGAGAGAAATGAATTCCTTCTATTGCATGCTTTCTCCGAGAAAGATTACATTGTCCCAGACAAAGAATACAAGAAAAAGGCTGTAGTGGTAAGTACAATTTTGATTCAAGTATTTGATTATAATTTAAAAATGAAGTTAAAACAAATTATATTAAGAAAATCCATGTTGCAGTTACTGCCCTGAGGATAAGATTTTAATTTTTTAGCTAACCTGTCAAAAAAGTGACAGGGTGAGCTTTTGTGATCGCTTTTCGTCTGTCTGTCCGTCGTCCGTAAACTTACTTTAAATGACATCTCATAAACCACTAAGCCAATTTCATCCAAACTTCATAGGAATGTTCCTTTGGTGGTCACCTTTGAAAATTGTTCAAAGAATTTAATTCCATGCAGAACTCTGGTTGAGCTAGAGCTTAGCTATTTGGCATGAAACATCTCCTAGTGAGTGTCTACCAAGTTTGTTCAAATAAAAGTCCTGAGGTCAAAACTGGCCCGCCCAGGGGGTCATTGATTTTCCCTATATGCATATAGTAAAAACTTAAAAAATCTTCTTTTAAAGAACCCAAAGAGCTAGAGCTAAGATATTTAGAATGAAACATCTTCTAATGGGTGTCTACCAAGTTTGTTCAAATAAAAGCCCTGTGGTCAAAATTGGCCCCGCCCCGGGGGACATTGATTTTCCTTATATGTGTATAGCAGAAACTTAAAAATCTTCTTTGAAAAAACCCGAATAGCGAGAGTTTAGATATTAAGCATGAAACATTTTCTAGTAAGTGTCTACAAAGATTGTTCAAATAAAAGCCCTAGGGTCAAAACTGGCCCTGCCCCAGGGGTGTCATTGTTTTTAACTATATGTGTATAGTAAAAACTTAAAAAATCTTCTTTTAAAAAACCCAACGAGCAAGACCTTAGATGTTTAGCATGAAACATCTTCTAATGGGTGTCTACAAAGATTGTTCAAATAAAAGCCCTGGTTTAAATTGGCATGCTCCGGGGGCCTATATACAGATGAGCGACTTTAGGCCATCATGGCCCTCTTGTTAATGATATTGATTTTATCTTGTACAATTTTAAAAGATGTATTTATGAAATGAAACTAAATGACAATGTGTTTAGAATCACATAAAATTTTATGATTAACATTGGGTTCATTATCATGTAACTTATTTATCATGTATGAGTGTAAATGTATGTTTGACTAACTGTATTTGGGGGAGTAATTGTTTGAAGACAGTAGTCATGCTTGGGTAGCTGATGTAAATTTCTGTGAAAGTTTCTTAGTTTTCTTGCCTGTTTAGTTCTGCCTATTTAAGCATAAGCAAATTACATCTTCATTCTATGAAGTATAGCCCCTGAATATAACATATCTGTGTACAAAAGATTTATTTTGAGCTTTCGAAAAAATTGTGATCCTTATTTAAGCTTTAAAGGTCAAATTATTTACAGGAAAAAAAACAAACAAAAAAACTATTTGTAGTGAACATTTATAGGATGTATGGAAAGGGTGTGAATGCCATGTTTATTATGACTACATTTTGGTTCAAGTTAAAATATTAGATGTTTATATTTGTACAGCAAGTAGAGGAAGGAGATGAGGAAATAGATTCAAGTAAATCTAAGGCAGGTCAAGGTCGTCGTAAACCAGCATACGCCGGAGGTCTTGTGCTTGAACCTAAAAAAGGTAATCAAGTTAGTGTAGAAGTTTAAAGCTAGATAGATAATGTAAAATAATTTTCCATACATTGTGAAGTTGGTTTATACAGAATTTACTTTAGTTTGATTGTGTAGGAAGCTATAAGCTTATAGACACACATTTTCGAATCTGTTCCTGGAACCAACCAGTACCGAGCAATATGTAAAGATATATTGATAGAAGATTGAAAAACATTGTTTACCCATCGTAATTAAATTGTAATAGTGTAAGCAGAATAAACATAAATGCTTAAAAGTGACATTATGTATATGCAAGGGTATTCAGTGAACAGGTGAAAGTCAAAATAAGTTTTCATATTGCCTTATTTCCTCAAAATTTAATAATTTACTTCACATAAATGATTAATAACTTACATGGCCCAAGAAAATTTCTATAATATCCATCAGAATTTATCTGTTATATTCAGTTTATAAAAAGAGTGGGACCTTCTTTATATTTTACAACGATTTTATATTTTATCATGTCAACTGTTGGTCAATTAACATTTTAACAGTCAATTTTCTGAAATATATAGTCAATTAAGCTCAACTTTTTTGTTTAATTTACACTTCTGCATGAAATTAGCCAGTAAAGGAATGAGCATTTAAAAATTAGTTTTACATTTGGATTGGATATGAAATAATGTGAAAAAGATATTCCTGTTTCATTTCATTTCTTATTGCCTGCAAATGTAGGTTAACTGAAGATTTTTTGGATCTAGTTAATTTTCTCACTTTGACATTGGTTGGATAAAGGTTGTATTGTTTCCACACCAAAATGTTACAAGGAAATATAAATGGATGTGACAGTAATGCAAATGCAGGTTAATTGTAGATTTTGTGATGCTTTTTTAAAATATCTCACTTTCACATGGGATTTTGATTTGATTGTCTTTACATCAAAATGTTACAAAAAAATAGGAATGGCTGTAACATGTCTGTACGTTTATTTGGTGTTTCAGGATTTTATGACAAGTACATCTTGCTGCTGGATTTCAACAGTTTATACCCATCTATCATACAGGAATATAATATATGCTTCACTACTATCAACAGAAATGATGCCCCGTCAACATCTAATGTAAGTTCAATACAAACAGAATATAGTAATTCATGTTGTTTTTTGCAGAAAAGCCCGGTATTATTTGGTTTAGTATACAACATCAGTGTTGCATCTAGAGTTTCAAAATTATGGGGGATTGGCCCCTACTCAACTGAAAAATGTGGGGAATTTGAAAAATATGTGGGGGACATATATTTACCTTACAATATGACATACCGAATAGAATTCATTTATTTTACATTTAGGCATTTTTGACAGTTATTGTTCGCTCAAAAACGGAAGTAGAAAAAATAAAATATTGACAAATACTACAAAACACTACAAGATGACCCAGTCGGCTGCTACATGCGATTAAGTATGTATTTTAGTCATAGCCGTGAGAGAAAACAAACATGGCTGAAGAGTTCAAGATATGATGAAGATAACTGAATTAAGTTGAAAAGATCGTCAGACCATTAAAATGGCCGCGCGATTTGCGCATTATTTATGCAGATCGCGCGGCCTAGATGCAACACTGCAACATTAATTCTGGAAAGTTATAAAAAAAACTTGAAAAGATTAAAGGCACAATATGGCTCAGAAATCAATATTGTTGTAATTCTTTAAAAATGTTAGACATGAGTTTGTGTTTGAATGGTAAATTTAGAGCATGTTAGATGTTAACAAATGACAAAAGTAGTTCTAAATAAGTAGTAATGTGTCACAAAGGTAGCAAAGCGTAACAAAGTATATTTTGACTTCCATACAAAATACTAATACACTATGATTATACTGATTGGCAACAGAACTATAGTTTTAAAAAAAAATAGTCCATGTATATGGCAAATAAGTATTACTTTGTAAATTGTAACATGATAACAAAAATCAAAAAGTTTTGAGAAATGAAATTGGTAGCATTTCTGAGGCGTATATAGAGGTTTAAAGAAAATCCCCTATTTTATTTTCATTAGAATTTCTCTTATCTTCAAATTTGCATAGAAAATGTATTATTGTTGAACAAATTAATCATTGATTCATTGAGTCAACAATGGATCAAGGCAAAAGTAGTGAAATATCAGTGCTCTACAAACAGTTTATTCTGCTTTAATTATAGGAAGAAGATGATCTGTTGAAAATGGAGCTACCAGATCCCGACCTAAAGCCAGGTATTTTACCTACTGAAATCAGAAAGTTAGTAGAGAGTAGACGACAGGTGAAAAGTTTGATGAAACAAGACAATCTGCCCCAAGAGCAGATGATGCAGGTAAGCTATTTTGACAGGTTCTTTTATACCCCTGTGCCAGAAATGGAATACAGTAAACTCCAACTGTATCGATATCGCTTGTAATGATATATCGGTTATATCGATACGTTTGTCTTGGTCCCTGCCAACTTCCATTATAACCTAACGGAAGCATCCTCGCATATATCGATATCGCATGTATCGATATTTCGGATATATCGATGTGGATTTTCAACCCCAACGCACATATATTACCTCTTAAAACGATAATTTGCTGCTAATGATTTGCGAAGCTAATCCTCGTGCTTGGATGAACTCAGAAATATTTATCAGTTGGGTGAAAAAACTTGACAAACGTATGACACGTGAGAAAAGATCTATTCTATTGTTTGTTGATAATTGCCCGGCCCATCCGAAAATCGAGGGATTAAAAGCTGTAAAACTGTTGTTTTTCCCACCTAACACTACATCTAAGTTACAGCCCTGTGATCAAGGGATTATCTTTTCATTCAAAAGGCATTACAGGTCACGTGTCCTTGACCATATTATTTCATGTCTAGACAAACATATCGATAAACAGATTAACATTCTAAAAGCCATACAATGGTTTTATGCGGCATGGAAAGATGTAACACCGACGTGTATCCAGAATTGTTTTAGAAAGGCTGGATTTATGAATCAAGCACAGCATGAAATAAATGCGACCCCGCAGGGGCATGTTTCCGATTCGTCTGACACAGACGAGTTCGAGGACGATGACATTCCGCTGGCTGAATTGGCATCGAAATGGAATCGCCTTAGAGTATTCAGTGACATAGACAAACACATTTCTTTTGATGATTACATAAATGCCGATGAGAATGTTGTCTCCGTTGAGCAGAAGTCCGATATAATAGCGGAGGTACAGCAAAAATTGAAACCCTGTCGCAGAGTGACGAAGAGAGTGACTCTGAGACTGTTGATGACCCCCCACCCACCATGAATGAGTTTCTTAATGCTATAGACACTTGCAGACGCTTTGTTCTTTCTAAGTCTGATTCGTGTGATTCTGTTTTCGGATGTTTACATGAACTTGAGAAATTTTCAGTTGAAATAGGGAAAGCCAAAAAGCAGACAAAATTAACTGATTTTTTCCGACAGTGAATGTCTTTGTACATGAACAAAACTTAAACAAGATTTACCCATGAGTGTAAATAGTTAAAAAAGCAATTTAATTTTGACGTTTTTTTCCCCAGTGTATAAATTTAAGCCAATGTAAGGTTACCAGTACCTGTGTACATATTACTTTCGGTTTATGTCAGTTTTGTGTTTATTTTGATGTGCAACTGATTTTTTATGCATTCAACATTGATATGCATAAAAAGAATAAAGTTTTGTCGTAAGTACATGATTGTCACATGTCTAGTATATAATGCTACTGCTTATACATGTTGAACGATGCAGTGCATCGTCAGTAAGCTACACATCGTACAGAAATTCGGTTGTAACGATATTCGGATATATCGATATTGTTTTGTATGTCCCCTGAATATCGTTATAAGCGGAGTTTACTGTACTTGGAAAAACTTTAAATGTGTCTCAACGTTTTTACCATTAGTCCTTAACAGGCTCGGACTGAGAATGAAGTCTTTTCTAACAGTATAGTGCCAGGCTACAAGTGCAGGCTTGGCTCTACTCTGTTGCAGAGATGGCAAAATAAATTGTCCATATTATCAAGGTTATCCCACAGACTGTACGGACAAGTGGAATTTTTTTTTTAAATTTACTATATAAATATCGTATGGTCGAGTAAAAATGATTCAGATAAAAACAGACAACAAAAAATCAGTCTCAAGCGGACAAATAGAATAAGTCAAATAAGATTTTGCAAGACCTGTAATGGAAGCTCAATTTTTGTTATTTTGATAATGAAATCTTATAAATCTTTTGATGTACTGTTTAAGATTCAAAGCCAGACAGATCCATGAATGATATAAATTAAGCATGTAACCATCATGTATGTATTGTCATGATTTCAGTATGACATTCGACAGAAAGCTTTGAAGTTAACTGCGAACAGTATGTATGGTTGTCTCGGATTTACATTCTCCAGATTCTATGCTAAACCCCTAGCTGCTCTCATTACCATGAAGGGTAGAGAGGTATGTACCTTATAATAATGAAATCCTGATAGAATTTAATTGCTTATAGTGAATAGGTCTATAATGGAAGATCTTTTAATGCCGTAAATAATTATGTTAATGGTACAGTAAAATACCACGACCACGCCACAAGTGGGACCTTGCAACTATTAAGGCCATTTTTTCAAAAGTACAAAATATTTGCCTTCTTTATTCATTAATTTGTGAAAAATGATTGGTATACCGACCAAAAGAACCAAGAAAGAATTATCTATGGATGATGTTGGGAAGTAATAGATACGTGATCTAATATGACATATACAAATAAATAGCAGAAAGTGTTCTAGAACAAAATATTATTATTCAACATATATAATTACTTAAGAACTCTTACCAGCATTTTGTTTTCCATAAATATTTAAAACCGCCTCCGTGGTCAAGCGGTTAGAGTCGATGACTTCAAATCCAGTTACCTCTGGCGTGGGTTCGATCCCCAGGAGATGCTTTGGTAGTTAAGCGCGGAGGAAGATAGTCTAGTACTGGTGTAACTCTCCAGGAATGATGATTAGGAAATTACCCGCCTATATGACTGAAATACTGTTTGGGGGAAAAGGCATAAAATGAAACAAACAACAAACAAACCATAAATATTTCATATAAGATTATCCAAATGGTACATCTCTATTGTTTTTATCAATATTTGAAACATTTAAGGAAAATGTGCCCATTGAAGACCAATATACTTTTATTCTAAATGAGGCATGTGTCATTTACATTTATTTTTACTGTTGAAAGAAGTAATCTGAAATGTTTCAAAGCATAATAGTTTGTTAAAATTTAGATTTAACAGGAAGAATATTTCCCTTGATTTATACAGTTGACATTATGATCAGTGTCTTCAAGATTAAGAATCGTAACAAATATAAAAAAATAATTATATTTGCACAAGTTTTTTTTATCATTGCTACTTTATGCCATATTTTTGTATTTAAATGAAACTTTTAAAGTGAAGATTTCTGTTTTCCATACCAGATTTTGATGAAAACCAAAGACCTTGTACAGGGGGTAAGTTATTTTGTAAATTTGTGTTAACAATTTTAGCATACTCTCACCATATTTCTACTGTGTTAGTAACACAGTAAGGGCTACTTTTGCATATTTTGAACGTCTTTTGGTAATTTACATGGATTGTTAGTGTCATTTGCAAAGTGAAACTTAGTGTCTTTGTTAGCTTCACAATATTTTATTATTTTGCTCCCCGAAAAATTTCGGGGCAGCATATAGGCGTCGGGTTGTCCATCCGTCAGTCCGTTCATACGTACGTACGTCCCGAATTCGTGTCCGGCCAATAACTTTGTTATTTGAAGTCGGATTTTAAAACTATTTCACAGAAATGATCACCATATTGAGACGACTTTAGGTCGCTACCTTGAAGGTCAAGGTCACAGCATGACCTTGCAGCAAAAATCGTGTCCGGTCCACAACTTCATTATTTGAAGTTGGATTTTAAAACTATTTCACAGAAATGATCACCATATTCAGACGATGTGTCGGGCGCATCATTTGGGTGGCTACCTTGAAGGTCAAGGTCACAGCATGACCTTGCAGCAAAATCGTGTCCAGCCCATAACTTCGTTATTTGAAGTCGGATTTGAAAAATATTTCTTTGAAGTCGGATTTGAAAAATATTTCACAGAAATGATCACCATATTGAGATGATGTGTCGCGCTCGACATTTGGGTCGCTACCTTGAAGGTCAAGGTCACAGCATGACCTTGCACCAATATCGTGTCTGGCCCATAACTTCGTTATTTGAAGTCAGATTTTAAAACTCTTTCACAGAAATGATCACCATATTGAGACAATGTGTCGCTTGCAACATTTGGGTTGTTTTTACACTTTGAACTTTGTCTGTGACATAACTCTGACACTACAAGAGGTTTACCTTCCTGTGTCCAAAACTTATTCGGGGAGCATCACCCGGTTCAACCGGCTCTTGTTTAACACTTTTTCAAAATTTTCATAAAAAAATTTGCGTGCTGATTTAATTTATGATATTTCAGAGATGTCAAGGTGATATGGACTTACATATTTTACTGACATATTTCTTGTTATTTCAGATGAATTTAGATGTTATTTATGGTGACACTGATTCTATTATGATCAACTCTAATTGTACAGATATTGAACAAGTCACAAAGTTAGGAAATAAGGTATGTTACTTTTCATTGGCTGCCAAATTCTTCTTCTTGAAACTATAATTCCAGTATTGGTCTGTTCAATGAAATTTCAAGCTTCTTTTCGCATTTCAATAACGAGTTAATTATAGTGATTTAATATTTCATATGAATTTTCAAAATACTACTTTGTTTACATTATCCTACCTTTAGGACAAATTATTTCAACCAATTATTTAAATATGACCGGATGTTTAATTTTGAATCAATTTTAATTTAGATTTATCACACAATAATGGAATGACAAAATCAACATAATGGGTTTGTGACCAGCATGGATCCAGACCAGCCTGCCCATCCGCACAGTCTGATCAGGATCCATGCTGTTCGCTTACAAACCCTATTACAAGTAGAGAAACTGATAGCGAACAGCATGGATCCTGATCAGACTGGGCGGATGCGCAGGCTGGTCTGGATCCATGCTGGTCGCAAACCCATTTTGTTGGTTTTTGTCATGACGCGGCTCATTTTGAATGTATCTTTTTTCTTATTATAGATAAAGACTGAAGTAAACAAACTGTACAAGTTATTAGAGATCGATATTGATGGTATATATAAGAGCATGTTACTGTTGAAGAAGAAGAAGTACGCAGCACTGAGTGTACACAAGACGTCAGATGGGAAATATGTGACACAGGAAGAGAAAAAAGGGTTGGATATTGTTCGTAGAGATTGGTCTGGACTGTCGAAAAATGTTGGAGAGTAAGTTGAATATGGTATCTGGTCCTTAATTTACCCCTGACAACAGAGTATACCAGAGTCAGCTGGTGGTCTGTTGGTTGAGCGGTCTGTTGCAGACTTCTTGTCTGGGACGTAACTCAGGCCCGTTCGTGCCTGAAATAATGCACGAAAGGGCACCTTAGGTCTTCCTCCACCAGTAAAGCTGGAACGTCGCGATATGACCTATACTGTGTCGATGTGATGTAAAACCCAAAACAAACAAACATAGCTTGGGATGTACAAGAGATATCAACATCAAATTTAGTATGTCGATAGATGTCATTGAGTAGAAGTAAAATATTATAAAAAGTGAACCACTCGGTCAAAGGTCAGTAAATGGATAAAAAATAAAAGCAAAGTTAATTTCGTTCATGATTTGTATGATAACATTGTTAATTCTTATTTTCAGTTTTGTTGTATCAACAATTTTGTCTGGTGAATCTAGAGAGACTGTTGTGGAGACGATACATGCTAAACTTAATGAGGTCGGTGACCAGGTCAGAGACTGCAAAATACCTCAAGAGCAATACCTCATTACTAAGGTAAATTTGATTAACTCTTTGAATTAATTTCGCAGTAATGACCTTTTCTGTACCATTGGTATATAACTTGGCCAACCTTCACATCTACCTGTCTGATCACATATACCCAGAGTATGCCTGATAAAAAACCTTTTTGGTTTCAAACTAGTTGATCACCGTAATGTTGATCCACAGTTTTTATGTCTCCCCCACCTCGGGGGGAGACATATTGTTTTTGCCCTGTCCGTCAGTCCGTCCGTCAGTCCGTCAGTCCGTCCATTCTTCGTTTCCGGACGATAACTAGAGTTCCTTTTGACCTACAGCTCTCAAACTTCATAGGATGAATGGTCTTATTGAGCAGATGATCCCTATTGTTTTTGGGGTCAGTAGTTCAAAGGTCAAGGTCACAGTGACTGTTGGTCAATTTCTAGTTTCCGGATGATAACTAGAGTTCCTTTTGACCTACAGCCCTCAAACTTCATAGGATGATTGGTCTTATTGAGCAGATGATCCCTATTGTTTTTGGGGTCAGTAGTTCAAAGGTCAAGGTCACAGTGACCGTTGGTCAATTTCTCGTTTCCGGATGATAACTAGAGTTCCTTTTGACCTACAGCCCTCAAACTTCATAGGATGATTGGTCTTATAGAGCAGATGATCCCTATTGTTTTTGGGGTCAGTAGGTCAAAGGTCAAGGTCACAGTGACCGTTGGTCAATTTCTCATTTCCGGATGATAACTAGAGTTCCTTTTGACCTACAACCCTCAAACTTCATAGGATGATTGGTCTTATTAATCAAATGATCCCTATTGTTTTAATGGTCAGTAGGTCAAAGGTCAAGGTCACAGCGACTGTTGGTTAATTTCTCCTTTCTGGATGATAACTAGAGTTAAAGGTTTGAAGAATTATGGAGCAGACACAATTTCATTTAATTTCATTTGTGAAACTATATATGATATGACCATCAAGTGCAATTTCGTTTGACGCCCGCCTGCCAAACGCTGATTGAATAACCAGGATTTTCAAAATTGAATACCTGGTTAAAAACAAACAGTTTAGGAAGCATCTTCTCATACAACCTTAACAATAGAAACCATCCATAGACAGCCTTCATTGAAGTGACTACCGGGTATTTACATTATCTTATCTCCATTTCCATTCCTGTTTCCATTCACAGTTATTCTCAGCAGTGGGGGAGACATGCGCTTTTTTACAAAAGCATCCTCTAGTTTATATATACCTCTATGTTCTTAACTGGGTACTTAAGCTCCCCTAAGGGAGAGCATATTTCGCTGCTTTATCTGAACGTCCGTCTGCATTTTCTTGACTGGGACATAACTCTGAAAGTTCATGAGATATCAACAAGAAACTACTCTGTGTCCAAAACCTATTCAGGGAGCATCAGCCAGTTTGACCAGCTCTTATTATGTTTGATATTCAATCTCATTGCACTTGCAGATTGGAAAACTGGAAAAATCCATTACTCAAACTGGGATAATGGTCACAACTAAGTATTTAAAGCAGCATGCCTCCAGATTCGTGATATTTTCTTGAAAATTTTGAAAATGTATTAAAAAGCATAATTTTGTAAAGTAACCAAAAAGAAGCAATTAACACATTATTAATGGCACTTGAAACCCACGTAAATTACCAAAAAGAGGTTACAATATGCAAAAATAACCCTTACTGCGTTCAGGGCTGCCGATTTTCCGCGGATTTCGTGAGCTCCTGGGTCATTTTTGAGATCGATGTAAATTCGACAAAGACAGCAAATTCATTCGTCATATTTTATACAGTACCCAAAAACCGGCACGCTTCGGCTTTTATCGTTACGCTAGCTGCCTATGGTACGTCTGTAAGCGCTTTTCTCATTGGTCAAATCGAGTCTTTTCCGGCATTCTATTTTAGAATAACCAATAAAATTACAGTTAACATTGTCGCTCTTGTCTGTTGTCAAAATGCGTCAAAATGTCGGATAAGGAAGTCAAATTTAGAGTCCAGGAAATTGATTTTAGGGCATACCAAATCATCAGAATCCAGGAGCTTCTGGGGGCTTCGCCACCTGGGCCCCCACCAGGGCTCTGCCCTGGACCTGCAAAGGGGGCTTGTACAGCCCCCTTGACCCCTGGCGTATTTTCCTCGGATTTTGCAATTTGCTGTTGGCAGTCCTGTGCGTTAGTAACACAGTAGAATATTGTGATAAAAACTAAAAAATTAGTCATTAATCGCACAAAACATGTAAATTATTACTTGAATCTTTTTACTTTCCCTAAGATATTAGTACATTTTTCTCAAGTTTGATTTTATCGACAAACTTTGGTTCATCTGGAGGCATGCTGCTTTAATAATTATGATTTATTACATGATAGGTAAGTTATTTTAGGCGGAGAGATTCTACAAATGTCTACAAATTCTGAATCCAGTTTGTTTTACTTTACAAACTTGCACTAAAACCAAAATCAAAGGAAGTAATTGATTTGATTTCAGCAATTGACAAAGAATCCGGAGGACTATCCGGACAAGAAGAGTTTACCACATGTACAAGTGGCTTTACGACTGAATAGTAAAGGTGGCAAGAGATTAAAAGGTGGAGATACAGTCTCTTATATTGTCTGTGAGGTAAGATTTAAGCTACGTAGTGTAGTATTATTGTCGAGCTAGGTTAGGGTGGTTTGTGGTTCTACTCCTTTGCTGGCAGCACATACCTGAAAAATTATGTATAGAGGGACACCCTAGCTGTTCCTCCATTTATAAATCTAGAAAATGTTCATTTGACATCAACAGTGTTGTTGGACATTACACTCAGGATTAGGACATTACACTCAGGATTATTCATGTAAGGAAGCTATTTAGCTAGCTTACGGAATGTCAGTAGTTCTACTCAGGTGCCCATTCATGCCAGAAATAATGTACAGAAGGGCACCTGAGGTCTTCTTACTTAAGTAAACTGGTAAGTTGCCATATGACCTATACTGTGTTGGTGCAACCAATCCGCCCCCACCCCCTCAAAAAAAATCAATTTCAGAGATTAACAATAGCTTCAATTTATGTTGAATACACATTGTTGCCAAGGAAACATTAAATCACTAATTGAATATTGTACTTTATTTGAGTATGTAAACTTATTAATGCATCAGAAATATATTTTAAAAGATTTTCACTACCCTTAAGCTTCATAATGGTGATGTATGGCCAGAATTAAAGTATGGTTGTAACTTTTAGGATGGATCTAATCTACCGGCATCACAGCGAGCCTATCATCCAGACGAGTTGGCTAAATCAGAGTCACTGGTTATAGGTATAATTATTATAATAAAATTATTTCAGTAAAATATTTGATTATTCCCATAGGTATGATTATTATTTTACCATTCAATAAAAATATTTGATTATTCTAATAGGTATGAATATCATTTGACCATTTAATAAAATAAACTATTTTGAACAATAGGTGAGTGTTTGAAGTTTAAATTATTTCTGTCATGTCAGTCTATCCAGTCAGCTTGAATTATTTATTAGATCTAACCAGGAGCCTGTTCATGCCTAAACTAATGCATTGTGAGGTCTTAACAGATATTTTTTAGAACTAACTAGGGAATATAAGACTGGTTTAGAAATGAATTTTCACCTTTTGAATTTAATTGACTTTCTAAACTATTTGTGTTTGTTATACAGATGTGAAGTACTACCTGGCACATCAGATACATCCGGTAGTGTCAAGGTTGTGTGATCCCATAGAGGGAACAGATGCTGCCCATATTGCTGAATGTCTAGGTAAAATAATTCTATAATACATTTTAGATACATGATGTTAAAGTGAATTAGTCTTTAGTATAAGTTCCATTATAAAATTGATAATAATTGTAATGATAGTATTTAGTCATCAGCATATAAAACAAATAACGAAATAATTATATGTGGATGTTGTATGAGATACATAGTCCAATATGACATATATTTGTATAGAACAAAATATGAGCCGCATCACGAACAAAAACAAAAATAGTGGGTTTGCGACCAGCATGGATCCAGACCAGCCTGCGCATTCGCGTAGTCTGATCAGGATCCATGCTGTTCGCTTACCAACTCTATTACAAGTAGAGAAACTGATAGCGAACAGCATGGATCCTGATCAGACTGAGCGGATGCGCAGGCTGGTCTGGATCCATGCTGGTCGTAAACCCATTATGTTGGTTTTGTCGTGACATGGCTCATATTACTATTCATCATATAAATATTCATACTAAATCACTTAGAATTTCAACATGATTTTTTTATGCCCCCAAAGGGTGGCATATGGTAATCGCACTGTTCGTCCGGCATATGGTAATCGCACTGTTCGTCCGACATATGGTAATCGCACTGTTCGTCCGGCATATGGTAATCGCACTGTTCGTCCGGCATATGGTAATCGCACTGTTCGTCCGATAGTCATGACCGCGCTTCATCACCAAATCTGATGGGGGAAATTTCAGTGAAACTATACAGGATTGTTTGTCATCATGCCTAATTATGCATACTCCCTTGATTTCCCGCTTGAATTTTTTTTGACACCATATCGAAGCTTTCTTTCATTGGCATAAGTCACTTTTCAGTGACAGCTCTTGTTTTTCATGAAATATTTTATGAGAATATTGTATTGTTTTTTTTTAAATATTTGAAACACTTACATTTTAAACCGGAATATGGCTTCTTTTCTTTTTGAGATAGAATTTTGTTTAAGTGGGAAAAGGATAGAAAAAGTGTTCCGATGATTTATATGGTAAATTATATTTTACAGGTTTAGATGCATCCGGGTATCGTCATGCCGCACAACAACGAGACGAAAATGATGACGACGCCCTATTGGGGGGAGTTAGCATCACAGATGAGGAGAAATACAAAGATTGTGAAAGACTGAAGATTGTCTGCCCGTCAGAAACATGTGGAAGGGAAGTCGTCCTCGATGCTCCATTGACTGGTGCTGTAAGTTGTTTTACTATTCTTACTTTCTGAAAATCTTCACACTTTAGGTAGACACAGTATGATTACATTGTGTCATTTAAAAAAAAACTAGCAGTTGTTTTAAGAAAGGATCACATTAAGTCCTCCAATAATAGGGAATGCAGCTTCGAAAACATAGTTTGTGCATTCTCCTGTTTAAAATTAGAATCTCCTAGATTTAAATAAATTTCTGCAGTAAAAGTAGTTTACCCAAAGGTGAGCATAGTATATCTTTAAATACTCCACAGAAGGGGATTTTTGTGATTTTTAAAATTACTGACCCAGGAATAGAAAAGATAGTTAATTTTTGAGAGAGAAAAATAGGGAATAATGTCTTTGGTAAATGTGATTTAATGTAAAAGAGTATACAAAACAGGCTCCAATAGTTTGCTTTATAGCAAATCCTCAAGTTTGAATCCATGCTGTTGATTTTCATTTAAATTTTATATTGTAACAGGACATATATATGGAGGCTGCTCTTGGAAAATGCCCCAACAACCAGTGTAATTACAAATTGTATGAGAACAGTGCTGCTATAGCCAATAAAGTCACGTCAGAAATTCGACAGAAAATTAAAACATACTATCAGGTAGGTGTTGCTCTGATACATCCTGGCTTGTTGTCTTGTTACGATGCAAGCAGCATCACAACAGCACCAGTATAGAGCCAGGCCAGCCTGTATTTCCTTGTAGTCTGATAAGGTGCCGTACTGTTGTCTGATTTATATTTATATATTTGCATTGTGTTTTCCGATGATCATGTTCTAGCAATAAGATCATTATCAATTGCTGTTTTAATGAAAAAATGTGAAAATTTACAGTGAATTTGAAATTTCTTACTGAAATTTATTTGAAATGTCTTACTATGAACATTATTGTATGGTGAAATTTCAGGCTAACAATGTTGATTTATTTAGATTTAAAGATAATATGATTATTTCAAGGTGATTTTCATTAATTTTGAGAGCCTTAATGCCTTACCCTTACGAATATGTAGTATTAAATGCTCTGCTCTGAAGTTGAAATACTTTATTATACAAACAGAACCTGAGCATCAGACACTTGAATGTTTAATAGAATGTTCAGACTGGGATTGACTCAACACTGGTGGCCTTTGCTTTCATAATTGTAGCTTACACTTCTCCATAAGATGGGACTTATTTGGAAAATGCCCATTTTGAAGTAAATGTATTTGAAAGTGTAGTTGTATTTTCTTATCTATTGCTTACATATTAGCATAAATATTTTCAAAGAAATTTTTTATAAAATGTTCAATGTATTTCATTTACAGGGTTGGTTAAAATGTGAAGACTCAGCTTGCCATGCACGATTACAGAAGCTTCCATTGATGTTTCAGAGGGGGCGGCCCATGTGTCCTATATGTAATAGAGGGTTTATGCAACTAGAGGTACATAGATGTAGTTTGCTTTGCTGATTATTTGTACATTTAGCAGGCATATTCAATATTTTATTGAACTGTTATAAGGGCCGAATGACTGAGGTTGGTTTACACTGCTTACAGGAATGTCAGGGTTCTTTGTTAGAAAAGCAGCTTATGTAAGGTTGGTTGTTCTACTTAAGTTATTGATATAGGAGCACAGTGTTCAATCTAGAGCGCGCCATTGCGCCATTGACCCCCTGAAAAGACCGCTGGCGCAAAACAAATTCAACTGTGGGCCCGATGGGCGCACTCATAGAAAATGCCCTAAATGACATTAGAATGCTTTCTTAAACCTGATTAAGTACATAAAAAAGTTTCTTGTGAATAATATTAATAAATACTGAATTCAAAACTGAAGTTTGTATAGAAAAACAAGAGCATGTTGGTAAGATAGTTACCGCACTTGGTAACCCTTTTAAAACCTTGTTGCTACGCTCTCTCGGGCGGGGTCTGTAAATACTATGTAGACTTGTTCTTCGTACCGTAACTATTACTTACTTTTGAGTCACAGTTTTTATAAACAAAACAAATCGTCACAGATAATCCAATACGTGCGTGTAGTTATATTTTTATCACGGTCAAAAGTCATAACTTTCCGAAAGGAAAAAAAAACTATATATTTGTGAAAAGTGCGAGTTAATTATAGAGAAGTGTGCATAAATTATTACGAACACGCCTTCATCCAATTAAAAAAGTCTTAAAGATGGAGCTAATCAAACAGGATTGGCAAGGGCGTGTCTGACAATTGAGTAAATAAACTTTGATTGGTCATTGGCTGGTCGGCGCTAAAACATTGTGCATATCATTAATCAATACAGACATCTTAAGCGTGACGTAAGAACTGCTGCCCTGACAAAAGATCAAAGGTACCGGTATGTCAATATACATTGTCTTAGCACCTGTTGACACTTTGTTTTTGGCTTGGATATATTGAGAAGGTTAAATGTTTTAGCGACTATTGTAAGTTTATAGTCTTCATCAACAAAGCTAATTGGGAAATATGATTTATTTTTATACAGTCAACTATCGTTATCTCGACATCGCTTTTCTCGATATTTCGTTATCTCGATGAACTTTTGAAAGTCCCGATTTTCTTCCTTCTTTATCTATATTGGAAATATTTGTTTATCTCGATATTTTTATTTCGATATTTTCAGTATCTCGATGTAAAATTTCAGCCCCAATAGTTATTTTCACACTATTATCCTTTGTTTATCTCGACTAATAATTTTCTTTCGTCTGTTCCTTCAGACGTGTGAAAAACACAAACTAGACAATAATTGCTCAATAGCCCGTGTCATAATGATGATTATGTTTGTAACAAGTTAAGCTTTTGTTATAAAAATTAATCTATTTAGCGTGTTGATTGACTTATGTCCCAAATGAGTGAATTTTACGTTCTTTATAAATATTCGAACACTGTATCAATTCATTATGACATTAAATGTAAATGAAATAGTGAAGGTATAGAAACGCTATCGTTGCAATATTGTTTCACAACATCACCATCAAATCCATCAGCGGTGGAACAATCTTAATAACTAACCCAGGAGAATATTTGGATCAACCACCCTGACAATTTTTTCCCCACTATATTGGTGTATTACTGAGTAAACCTCACTATGTGTTTTTATCACAGACACCCGTATTTCCGCTGGAAAACATCCGCTAATGTTACTTTGTTAAATATTGACTAGGACTATGAAAACAAGACATGGGGATATCATAGTGTATTTGACATTAGGTATGCACATGTTTTTTGTAAAAATCAGTTTCTGCCTTATTCAAACCCTTATATGTTTATCTCGACATTTCGTTATCTCGATATTTTTTGGACGGTCCCGATGACTTCGAGATAACGAGAGTCGACTGTACATGTATATCGGGTGCTGATTAAAAAACTGAACATTATTATCAAATATCCCTGGTAACATTAAAATAAGATTCATATGTTTCTTTGAACATTATGTCATCGTTTCTTTACCAATCAGTTCTTAAAATTGAGCCTGTAATAACGCTAACAGAACTCTCAAAAAAGGTCAAAATAATGTCTTTTTTTTAGTGAGTTGATTGTTTTGGAATTTTGCAACCGTTTTTAGTCTATATATGGTACGTGAACAAGTAACTTAAAAAGATACAATACATTATTTGAATTTGATGTTCTTTTAAAAGTGTGGGCCCCCTTTTTTCACAAATGACCCCCTTTTTAAAAGTTTATGGGCCCGAAGGGCCCCCTGGGAAATTGTTCTAGATTGAACACTGGGAGCATCTTCATACAACAACAACTGTTGCCATATTGATTTATGTTGCTGTCACTGAATACCCATTCCCTCATAAATAATAACATTGTCATATGTTGAAATAGAAAAACATGTTTAAAATCTTTATCTTCGCTTAAATTATACTTAATTTTAAATAACATATCTTTTCATGCTCCTACTTTGGGTAGGGTGGACATAGGTTTGCCCTCGTCCATTTATCATGCTGTATGTCTGTAGTCTGACAAAACAGTAGAATGTGGGGGCATCCGTGTTCTTTGGACACATTTTTATTTTCATAAATATTATACTTTTTGAAAACTTTATGGAACTGTTTTGTTGCAGCACTGATATTTTTGTGGTTTATTATTTCAGTACACAGACAATATGTTGTACACACAGATGTGTTTCTACCAATATCTCTTTGATCTTGATAGAGCTACCCAACAACTCACTGGAAATGAAAAAGGTTGCTATTTTTTAATGAAGAGCTTTTAGATAAGTTTGAGATCTTAAATGATTTACATTTTTTAAGGGAAGATATTTTCAGAAGCCAAGGTAGCATATTCTTGTATATGTTTTGTCTATACTGTTTTCCTTTTGTTTAAATTTGAAAATTTAATTGAATGTTAACTTTTTGATATCAATCAGAGTCATTTCGTCACTTCCATAGCTGTGTAAAATATAATTGATGTTTTGATTGATTGGGGGACAACCAAGATTCTTTCAGGAATAATATGTTGTTTTTATTGTTATCTGCAGGGAAAATGTTAAAAGTGAAGAGCGATACAGAACTATGCAATGCTTACTCTAATCTGAAAAAAGTAGTCGACAGATGGGTGAAGAAAAATGCCTACTCTGAGGTCAACTTGGACAAACTGTTTGAGGGACTTTTTACACTCAAGTAACCCAGAGTTTGGAGGGAAAATATTGTGTCTAAATGGATTTATAGGACTTCAAATTTAAGCTGCTATTTTTCCTTGTGACTTAAAAATGATGCTCACGGAGATGACCGGAGAGTGTTTGAATTAATACTTTTCTGATCAATACTTATTTATTAGTGCTAAATTTATATGGGATTATATTCTGGTACTGGAGTTAACTTGTACATATATTGTATAGAAAATGTAATACCAGTCTTATTCTTATGTGTACTGTATATCAGTATGGTCTTCTCTAGAGAATATATAAGAGCCGCGTCATGACAAAACATAATGGGTTTGCATCCAGCATGGATCCAGACCAGCCTGCGCATCCGTGCAGTCTGATCAGGATCCATGCTGTTCGCTCTCAGTTTTTATACTTGTTATAGGGTTTGTAAGCAAACAGCATGAATCCTGATCAGACTGCGCGGATGCGCAGGCTGGTCTGGATTCATGCTGGTCGCAAACGCATTATGTTGGTTTTGTTATGGCGTGGCTCATTTGTATTTCTAAGACAACACACATGTGTCTTTAGTATTGTTAATGTTTTTAGTCTCTGTCATATGACTTGTTGATAAATCTGTATTTTGGAATTAGGTCCCTTTCATGTTCTGACTGGTATATGCTTGAAAATTATGTTTAAAAATATATATGAATTGATATATATTCTTTGTGGGGGTGTGGGCACCATAGTCTGTGCTACCTTTTGTGTTCAAATATAAATCATGTATCAATTATATGTATCATGTAAATTCATTTAATTTTGAGCACGAAATTTCAAGGTTTTGTAGCAAAAGACATATTCATGGGTTCTTGAATTCATAGATTGTTGTTTTTTTTTTTTTTTTAAAGTAAAATGATACCCAAAATAATGTTACAGCAGATAGAAATGAAATTGTGTTGGATCTTGATTTCATAGATTAACCTATCCATGAAAATCAGTACATCACGAATTATAATGATTTTACAGTAATTATGTTCATTGTGTGATTACTAGAAAGGAATATTTAATTTCGTAACATTTACCCTGAATTCTTATAAGCATGGTAATATATGGAAGTGAAGTATTTTATAGTGTTTGAGTGATGAACTGTTTCTGTATTTATTAAAATCTTTAACTCTGTCATACACTTGTGTATGCATGATATGTTTAATTTTTATTTGTTTTCTATGCAATAATTTGAAATAATGGGCTTATACATAGATATTATATAATTGCTGGAAGAATATGTATATTTTTTTCTGTACAAATTAATATTTTGACATGTTTTTGAAGTATACATGTGTGTTCTAAAGGGAGTGGAGGCATTGATGTACATTGTAATTTCAAATACATGTAAACAGAAAATAATATCTTGTTATTCTTTATTATTAAAGCATCCATGATAAGTTACGTCAATGAAGAGCCTCTATAACTGTGTGGTTCATGATGATTTTGTATGATTTTGTATTTTCCTCACTGTTTTGAGATTGCATGAGTCAGGAATTTTCATGTGAAGGGAATAACTTAATTGGGTGCACATGTTGTCAATTGGTTTATATTATTTATATATACCCCGTGCTTACTAGTTGCATGTTTTTTTTTTTTTTTTGGAAGGTAAGGAGGGTTATCGGAGGTGTTCCTTTAGCATGTAAACCTGGAATATTACCATAATGACTTATAAGTGTCTCGAGTCTGCATGACTTGAAACATCACATATATTCAAAAGAACAATGATGTCCTTTTACTTAAAATTAATTATAAGACAGGTTACTGCAAGTAGAAGATAAATGATTCAAACAGGTCGAAAATTGATTACTTCCTGACTGCTTTTTAGTTTAGTCCAAAATTTAAACAAAACAGCTCATTGCCATTGCCTAGAATTTTATTAATTTGGTGGCTACACATGGTTTGCTATTTTGATTTAATTCAACTTCCACATTTGTCTCGTTATACAGTAAATTGCATGGGAAATATTTTGTCTTAAGTGTTAACAATCTGGAGAGTGCATGGAAGGATGCATGCTATTTCAAAACCAGTAGTGTAAAACCTTAAAAACAGGAGTTATCTTGCACTATATATTTTACATAAACATTTTAATTTAAAACTGAATTTGACATGTTTTCACTAATATGGGCTTGATCACAAACATTTAGTGTCTTTCAGCGAGATTGTAGTGGGTCACTTCTAGAGAATTTAAAAAAGAAATGTAGAAAAAAATCCCTAAGAAAAAGAAGAAAAAAACATATTTTAAAATAGTTGTGAAATAAGAATGAATATGTTCTGGATTTTGGTCTATTTCAAAATAACATTTACATAAAAATAACATTAAACACAATAAAAAATGACAAATACACATATTGATGCAGTATATTTATTTCAAACGAAAACGGTGATTTTTATACATTTAAAATCAACTATTAAGGGAAAATTTAACAAACTTGCATACTTCAAAGAAAAAGATAAGCAAAACAATTGCGTGTTGAACATTGAATAAAGAGAAACAAAAAGGGTTCATGGTGAACAAATTCCAAAATGTGCAAGAATTTAACATTGACCTTAACAAAATCATGTGACTTCTTTAAAATTTTAGAGTTTCTTTTTATTTTTAAAAACTGGAATAGATATATAGATTTTTATGTTTTACTATTACCACGGTACATGTTCCTCCTTGTTAATTTGTGTCATAATCAGTAGAGTTAATACAAACACAGAAATTCGATTGATAATGTCTGGCAGAGCCAGACGTCTTTATTGTCTAAGAATAGATTATGATATAATCAAAAGATTAACCAGAATCTTCAAATACGCTTTCATATAGAAAACAATTGTAGCAAACGTTATAATAGATGACACAAAGTTGGACAACAAAAACCAAGATTTTTTTATTTATCAGCAAGGATTTTCAGCCACCAATAGCTCGTACATATTCGGTCATTTTCGTTAATATCCGTATCTTATGATGAAGCTTTTAGATGATAAGATTTCTTTGTTGCTTCCTGTAATTCAGTCTTTTATCAGATACGGAAAGTCACGAAATATACCGAATTTTCACGAGTTAATGGTGGATGAAAATCTTAAAAAATTCATGTCCGTAACTTAAATGTGTTGTCTTAAAGATATAGTAGGTTGACTTTTCATGTCTGTATTTTTAATGTGTTGTTTTAAAGCTGTAGTAGATTGTTATATGGATGCGGTAATACGTCTTGCATCGCATCTTTGGCGTCTGTAGACTATCACCCACCCATTGCAGATCAGCAGAGCTCCAGTTGTTCCTCCCACATCCTATATATTTCATGCTGCACGAATATCTAGTGCACGTGAGAGCCTCGCAACAGATCTCCCCGGGTCCTTGTACTCTTATCAGATACTGAATGGTTGCCCCTGGACGTGGAACACTGCTCGTATCGGAGCTAATGTAAATAAAATGTAAAATAAGATTACATTGATAGTATTCTATGTAATAGCAAGAGCATCGAAACAAGGGGCTATCTGATTTGTACAAGGGGCCATAGCCTCCGCGAGTATAAATCAGATTGCCTTATGTTATGATATTCTTTCTCTTTTGTATCATAGGATAAAATAAAAACATGCTCCCTGTCGTCACAATATGAAACCCCAGAAAAAAGTAACCGATGTGCTAGCCTCTGAATATGACTTTCCTATAGTTATCCCTTTCCCTGTCGTCACAATAAGTAAACCCCAGAAAAAATGAGCCAATCAACGAGCATGCTCTATTTTTGTCGCGGTAACTTCTCAAAACTATGATACAAATACTATGAAAACGATGTAGTGTTAAAGCTATAGTGTTAACATTTTGATTAAAGGAAATATAGAATTATTCTATATTATATCAAAACATGACTGCATTTGGTTCCCTGGACTATAATCTTTATCCATTTGTAAATGCGCAGTTAATATGCCACGACTAGGAATGATATTCATAAATTTCACATAATTCTTTACCATCAAATGAGCGATAGAAAAAAAAGCAAAATATATCAAAACTGAAAAAACACTATTTGTTAAATACATCTGTAGTTTATTACACTATAATTTATAGCGAGCTTCAATAAATGCCTCGAGAATTCATCCAGTTGCAACTACTGTTACTATAAAAGGTTAGTAATTCAAATTAATGGCTAGGGGTTCCAGTGGTATTTGGCAACCAATCTCATTAAAATCATATCCTAACTGCCGCTCCACTACCCTTATCGAAGAGTTACGGGGCGAAAAGGATTATCTGATTTTAGCAACCAATTAGCAATTTTTCGGCCATTTCTGGCACTAATGGGGTGGAAAGGACAAAACGTTTCGACAGCAGGAGAAAAAAGGTCGGTTTAAGCTGGCATATCGCCGACGTGAAACAAAGGTACCAGTTACTGAAAAAAATGACTACTTACTAACAAAAGTTTCCGTATCTCCTATAATATGCAGCACAACCAGTGCCTCCTTTTAATTTCGCTTCAGACACAGATAGCACTGCCGCCATCAGGAATATCAACCACAACTTTGCCATTGTAATGAAAGAACTCGATCACTGCAATACGATGAAATATTCAATATTTATTACCAAGGAAATTTATAAATCCCAAAACGATCTAAAACATAAACATGATAAAATGAGCTTATTCTACAATAGAAATAACATTTATGTCCTGTTCATAATCATCAAATAATAAACAAATTAAAAACAAACAAAGATCATTAAAGAAAATTGATTTTAAGTTCAGTTTTCAATTACATGTATGCCATCTCTATATGTATACTTAATATTTTCAAAACATATTATGTGAAAATCTTTATTTTTAACAACTTTGAATTTTTATACTACATTGATAAAGAATCACACATGACAATAAATACACAATAAGTTTTGTAATTTGTCATCGCAGCAGCCAATTGTGTACGTTGGCTTAACCAATAAAATTTATTATAACAATAGCTATTTGGAAAGTAATCAACAATTTTATTAAATAAATATTGATAAATCAACAAGCATTTTTCTGAGCGAATAATAAATTCAACAAAACTAGGACTTACCTGCTTAGAAATTAAAGCACCGTATGAATTTTAATTTTGAACATGTTCATTTGAAACCCTTATATACTTTCCGTAACAGGATTTGCCGAGGAAAAAAAAGAGAGGATTTTTGTGTGTTGAGATACTTGTACCGTCTTTTTAATTTGTAATATTTTTAATGCGCGTTTCTAGCGTGTTTGCGCATGTCAGCTTAATTTGAAGGTGACATTGCGTAAATATTTGTTTTTTCCTCGGAGATGAACATTTGCGATTGTAACTAATACTTCATGAAAGCAATATACGAGAAATTTGGCCTTTCAATTTGCATTTTATTTCTTCTTTTTTAAGTTATAATTACAAACGTGTACCTGATTTTATTATATACCTATAAATGAAATAGTGTGAACTATTTTTATTTACACTGTAACAATTTGTTGTTTTTATTTGTTTGGGTCGTCAGACCAAACAAATAATGGTAGCGAAATTTCAGAGTCTAATGTTGTTAATTGCAAATGCCGAAAGTAGTCCACTTTTTTGAAGCAGTTACTTCCCTTTATATGTAACACTAACGCCGAAAAATTCAGGGGAGATCACTGCGTAAAGATGGTCAAAGACAGGCACATCTATATTCAAGCAAAATAATTCCCGAATGATCGAATATTTCTAATATTGTTTTATTGTATTTTCTGATCGAAAATAAGTAAATACAAAGCGTACATTCAATCTCTGACACAGAAGTTTATGACAAACCTAACAACAAGTAGTTCTCAAAACAGCTTTAAACTAGCGATTTAAGAGAAAGAAATATTTTTATTTTGTTAAAAGTATCAAACAAATTACAACGCATTAAAAGTTTAAAAATAGCGTTGGCTTATAGAATTGTCAATAAATGCACAATCACAAATTACGCGGATGAATACGATTTTATCAATGAAAATACTATTTTTAGCGATATCGATTACCGAATACTACACAAACCGAGTAGTGGAATATATAGATTCTACATGTCGGACTGTTTGGGCGAGAAGATTTTTGCTAAATAATTTACATCAATTTTAAACAACAGGTTTATCCTGAACAAAATACCTCGAAATTAATAAGGATTACAAACCCGAAATGCAATGGAAGTTCTAAATTTAGAATGACTTGATGATATTCAGACAGTATTTGTATAACTTCTCCGTGGTGCAGTGGTAACGCGCTCGCTTAGCGAGTCAGAGGTTTGGAGTTCGAATCCCGGGCGAGGAAATTTTTTTTTTTTTAATTCTTTTTTAAATGTTTTTGTAAAGGAAGTAGCCATGATATGCAAGGATAAAGTGTGGCTGTCGTAAAAAATGAACTTAAATGATTTTTTGATGCAACTCTAGTTATGTAGAATTCCGTTTGTATCAAACTCTGGCGCCTAGCAAAATTAATTATAATACATAAAAATAAACTTATACAGGAAAATACATACAGATATACAGTACGATTTAGATTGCAAAGATCAAAAAATACCACAGAACTTGAAGCCCTTTGATTCTTTATAAATATACATGCTTATAGTAAGCTCCAAGATTATTTACATCTGTGTTAAACAACAGTTAAAGTCGTTACAAGCCCTAATTTAGATCGAATAATATGGTTTTCTTCAGGCGGTTCACATATAAATTCACCGTGGCTGAAGAGTTTTCACGCTTGCTTAGGAAGCGAGAGGCCTGGTGTTCAAATCCCAGTAAAGGCAACTCATTTTTTTTTTCAAATTGTTAAAGTCAAATAAAGATTGTATTGAATATCAGTGTTGCAATCAGTCTTAAAGCCAATTTACTTCAATTAAAACGCTGGAAAGCATTGGAAGGACCCAAACAAATTCAGCGCCTTCTGTGCTTTGATTTTTTACTGCAGTGAAACATATTTTCCGTATTTTCACTAGTGTCTTGCTGAACAACTTTGTTCTGTCAGTATAGCCGCAAGCCAAAAAGTATATAGAGGCTGGATTTATTTTCACCTCGTGGTATGAAAATTATCATTATATATATTTTCATTCCTTTGATGACAATCACTGCCTTTAATTTTTATAGAGAAAAATGAATATCCTCAATAAATTTAACAAGAGCCACCGCCGGGCGGGGGCAACGCTCGACTTTTACTTTTTCTAAAAGGAAACAAAGAAATGTTTAAACAAATCTTAACTTTCCTTTTTATAAATTTAATCGGTCTGTCTTGTCACATTAGCTTTGTCAAAGTATGAATTCTTTCCATATAAATCTGCATGTGTATTATAGAAGAAAAAAAAAAGATAAAGATATATATATATAGAGATATGCGAAGAAAGCATTGAAAACGCTACCGAATGTACATAGAGTTTATTATTTCTTATTCATTATTATATATAAAATATAAATATATAAATGACCATATATACTTATTGGAGTGTGTAGATCTATATATATATATATATATATATATATATGGTCATTTAATGCACAAATCAGTGAAAATTCAATAATTTAACCTTCAAGATCAGGGTCATGAAAGAGAGCCAAGGTCAATTTGAGTTTGATAAACATGAAGGTCTTTATTTTAAGAATGTTCTTATATAATATGAAGTCAATCCATTCAATAATAGCAAAGTTACAGCCAGTTACAGCAAAAAAAAAAATGAAAATTTCAATAATTTGACCTTCAAAGTCAATGTCATTTATGAGTGAAGGTCAAGGTCTGTCTGGTTATTTTGAATGGCTATCCTTCAAGATTATCATGTTTAAGTTTGAAGACAATCCATTCAAAAATAGCAAAGTTACAGCCAATAATAGCCAAAAAAATGAAAATTTCAATAATTTGACCTTCAAAGTCAAGGTAATTTATGAGTGAAGGTCAAGATCTGTCTGGTTATTTTAAAGGGCTATCATTCAAGTTTATTAGGTTCAATTTTGAAGACAGTCCATAACAAAATAACAAAGTAAAAGCCAATAAAAGCAAGAACAAGCAAAATTTGGACTTTTGACCTTAAAGGTCAAGGTCATTTATAGATGAAGGTCAAGGTTAGTGTGGTCTACTAAAAGGTATTGTCCCAAGGGTTGTTGTGGTCAAGTATGAAGACCATACATCAAGAACTAAAAAAGTTATGATCCCGGTACAAGTTTGCGGACGGCAACGGCAACGCCGCCAGGACTATAACAATACCTCTATCTTTTTTTATTTATTTTCTTCTTTTTTTTTCAAAAAAAAAAGTCGAGCTAAAAATACAGTACAGAATTGAGTGAACTAAAATGTATTGACCAATTAATATTGGCAGACTTATGGTACCAGTATAGACCCAAGCCGGCTAGGAAATCCTTGAAATTAGAATATTCACTATTATATTCTTGTATAAGACTGGTGTTCCCGATAGATTTACACATGACTGGCATTGTGGGATAAGATGAAATGAGTTGCGTGGTCCCAAATGTCTCTATTTCCACGGATTCCCATGTTTAAAAATCCTAAAAGTTATCAACTCTTATCACAGAATGCTTTTGATGTAAAAGGAAAGTCTTTCTACAGATCAACAAAAAAACAAAAAACAATTGAATACCTTAAATTAGTTTTGACTTCTCTATTTTATATATCAAACAAAAAAAATGACAATAAAATCACTAAGACGAAAGATAGACATAATTATCTTTAAAGTTTTCGACAATGGCCTGTTTAATTAAAATGAACATTTCTTCAGATGTGACCAAGAAACATTTTGTTCAAATTTCGTCATAAAACTCACTGTCCTTCACAATCAAATGTGGTAGGTTAAAAAATCTCTTATATCCTGGTAAAATCGCCTTGAAAATAACACTTGTATAATGTCCAACAGCCAGAAGCTTATTATTTTGATTAATTGTGGTTATTTTACATTTTTATTTGTTAATAGCATTGTTTATAATATGGCACGTTACAATTTCACGTATTTCGAAATGCATGTTCGTTGTTTATTTTCCTGGACATTGCATTCTTTGTACCATGGCGTGACTTGCACAATTTCATAATAAATGACCGTTGTTGTTGTTGACAAAGTTTTTTCTGAATGTTGTCGTAATTTATGTTGTTGCAAATTAGTAAACATGGTATGTTTGGACATGTGTGTTTGAATAACGTATTTTTCATTTTATCTGTAATCAGCAAGTTTCTGTATACAAATGAATTACATGTGTACATTAAATTGTTGGTGATATCTTCTTCTCTATAATGTACAATCAAAACAAAGAACGCTTTTTAATTTGGCGTTTAATGTTTATTTCTTGCCCTGTTTCTGCCGTTTGAATCCATCACAGGACCATCGTACGCAGCTTTAACGTTCGTCTGTTAAAAACAATGCCTGAAATAATGCACGGAAGGGCACCTGAGGTCTTCCTCCACCAGTAAAGCTGGAACGTCGCGATATGACCTATACTGTGTCGATGTGACGTAAAACCCAAAACAATCTAAATCTAAAAACAATGCCTATCAATAACTACTTTATGTCGAGTTAAAAAGGGACATAACTCCTATATACATGTATGTTGCTTTCAAGTTGATACTTTTTATATACTACTTAAATAAGCAATGTTGAGTTAAAAAGGGGCATAACTCCAAAAATATCGTTTTCAGGGTAATGTCCCTTGTCCTACAACTTTACTTTGTCGTGATAAACAGACATTTCAAGCTTCATGTTGATATCTTTCATAGCTTTAAAATCATTCTAAAATAGAAAATTATGACAAAGATTCTCAGTAAAACTGCTAAAACATTGCTTGTAGTAAAATGCTCAGTGTCCCACAACTTCAATGTCATGATAATCAAGTATTCTATTTCATGTTGATAGCTTTCATGGCTTTAAAATAATTCTAATCAAATGAGAATAATGACAAAGATTTTCAGTAAAACTTCTTTAGGATGCCCTTGTTCCGCAACAATCAAGTTTTCTAGGAAGTGAAAGTTTTGCAGTCTTTTATAATATATCTAACCTCTACAAACTGGCATATAAGGTTCTCTTCTTCAGTGGTTCTCATCTTATCCTGCTGATATGAAAGAAAAGGGTCATTGTATCAAATATTTCTTCATCACTTTTAAACAGCACCACTGGAGTACCCCAGGGGTCCATCTTAGGCCCTCTGCACTTTCTAATATACATTGACCACATTGTTTCTCTAATATTAAAGCAAATATTCAACCATTTGCACATGACACAAGTCTCTACATAATTGTTGAAGACCCCAAATCCTCTGCTGCAATATTGTACTGCAAACTTTAAAATATTTCTTTGTGGTGTAAAACTTGGCTTGTTATTTAATCCTTCAAAAACAGAATATTTCCTATTCAGTTATTATAAGTATATGTGATGATAATACACAGAAATCTATGTCAAAACTAAGGTAACAAATTTATATTTTTTCTTTATTGTTTCACAATACAGAAACTATATCCCTGAACATGCTGAATATCTTAAATGGACTTGTCCCACTTCCATTTTTGGGACTGTCCATTATCAATTTTAGGTATATCAATTTGAATATTTAAAATTTGTCAGCCAACAGTATAGAGCCTGGTCAGACTGCACGGATGTACAGGCTGGTCTGGCTCTATACTGGTGGCAAAGACTTAATGCTTTCTGGTCCAGCACTTATAGGGATATTATCGGTACTTTTTTGCTAATAAGATGGTTTCTTTTTACATAACTTTGAAGGACAACAAAGAACTGTATCATTCCACTTTTTTGTCATTCTCATTCAAGGAAAAATGTATAACAAATATCAGTAAGTTTTAAAAATAATTTACTTTTTTTACAACTGTACATTTTGACAAGGAAAATACTCATATTACAAAATATCAAATAGTACTACAAGCCTCAGCAATGTAACTCTGTAATTTGTTTTTCTGAATTGCATGATAAAATTACAGCTAATTTAATGACCTGTAGAGTAAATTTCGTGTTTCCCTGCTCCCCCTATACCTATAATCATATACATGATTCCTGCATGATTGAGGCTCCCAGATATGACCTTCAAACTTCTATATGCCACTTTAATAGCTCTCTCATACATAAAAGCCCTTAAATTTTATCAAGAAACTACCACAGCGGCCATTTTTTTCAGTTTGATTTTCCCAGACATTCTGGCTAACACAGAGTCTGATATCAGTTTATGATAAACATTGTAATCTTTAAATCATGATCAGTAAAAAGGTTCAAATCAATATGATTTTTCCAAAAAAAATTATCAAATATCTTGAATGAATGAAAATTAACAAGAAAAAAACAAGAACACAATTTTGCCTTGATAAACATTGTAACATAATCATTTTAACTATGTCATAATAAATATCTATGATTGAAATAAAAACACATTAGCAAGCTTAACAAAGATGATTTCAACAGAGTGAAAAGATTTGCTTGACAAACAAAAATTTTAAAAAAATCATCAGAATTTGAGAAAACTGACGAAAATATCACATAGGGTATGAAGAAAAGTTTTTATGTAATCTATTGTCATATTGTGGGACCACTTGACACTTCTCCACACATTTATGCAATATGAATTCAGTAATCATATAAATTAAAAGTGGTCCATCCAAAATTCTAAGCAAGTTAACGATGACACCAATAAGGAGAAAGTATTGAAGGTTTCGTCAAGTTTGTACATAAAAAACCCAATACTAAATGTAAACTCATCACTCTGTTATCACTCTCCCATTTGGTTTGGACTTAGTCGTGAATTTTTTTTCTACAAATTAAATTATCATCAATTTTTCTTTTTCTTCTTTTTCTGATGTGTGTTTTCCTGTTGCTCCAACTCATATTGTGCGATTAGTTCTTGTTGTGTGGCTGGAAGTGCCGGACAGTACTGACTGTACTCCATTGTATATTCACCTTTACCTTGTGTCTGTGACCGCAACTCCGAGGAATATCCAAACATGTTATTAAGTGGTACCTATTAAAGGTAACAAAAAATTTAATTATATTGATCGTAAACAACAGATACTGTCTAATAAAATACTGACTAATGTTTAAGGGTTACCTGTAGATATTATACAACTATTATACAATACATTTTATCAATCTTTAAGATCCTGTATGTTGTAATTGAGGTTGTATACCACACTTAAATGAAATTATATATTTGTATATATTTATAATCATGCTTATAAAACAATTTTCAAACATCGAAGAATATGTAAAATATGTACTCAAATATTTGTACATATTATATTTAATCATTTAAATATATGCATGCATTTCTTTTTGAAAAATTTGACCTAATCTTTATAGAAAATAAATTTTTTATTACCTCCCTTTATTTACATGAAATATTAAATTCGGTAATATCTTTATAAATAATGCTTTTTTGAACTTACAAAATTGATAAATATTAATTTGAGCATCATATTTATGATATAAAACCATAAAAAAATTGTATTACAGGATCTTCAACAATATCATTTTTGTATATACAAAATTTACATATAAATTTATGGTCTCAAAATTTACAAACAAACACAAGTATTTTTGGGGTCTTAAAATTTCTTTCCTTACCTCACAATACACAGTGAAATATCCGTCACTACTATCTGTTCCCAGCACAATACCATTCCGGTTAGACAGCCCTTGCATCACTGCACTTTGAAATTCTTCCGGAGCATTGGCCTCCACATTCATTATTGGTTCCAAGATCTGCCAGTGTCCATTATCAAATGCTAAAAGAAACATGACAGTGTTTAACATACTACATCATATCTACAAATATTTTTGGGGTGGGGGAGCGGAGGAACAGGGGGGGGGGGGGGGATTGTATGTCACGCCAACACAGTACATGTCATATGGCAACTTTCCAGCTTTACTGGTGGAGGAAGGGCTTTAGTACCCTTCCAAGCATTATTTCAGACAAAAATGGGCATCAGAGAAGAACCACCGATGTTTAGTAAACTAGCTGGATAGTTTCCACAAATGAAAGAGTCCAAAGTCTCTGCTGGGATTCGAACACATAGTGGTTTGGGGCAAGTGGATTGAAGTGACCAACCTTAACCACTCGGCCACAAACGCCCTATATCTTCATCTGAACTGTGGAGTTTTATGAAACATACATCATGACATTGAATAATAACATTTAAAATATATTCAAATATATATGATATTCATTTGTCTGAGCAAAAAAACTTTACATTCATTGCTTAGTACTGGTTGGTTCCAGGAACAGATTCAAGAGTGTTTCAATAAGCTTATAGCTTCCATCACAATCAAACTGAAATAAATTTGTATCCACTTAATATTGTTTAAATATTGGCATGACTGCAAGTTAAATATCTTTGTTTCTGTTTGGCTGGGTTTTTAACCTTTACCTGACTGAATTTATGTATCAGCCATGTCTTTTACCACAACATACATTACCTTGCTTCATTGCTCCATGTGCTGCCTGCTGGAAAGCCCAGTCACTAGAATCTACTGTATGGTGATCACCTTAAATACAAGAGCAAGTGTATTATACATACATGTATATAATGTAAGTATTATCTATGCCTAGAAATTTAGAACAAGAGTTGGGTGTTGGATAGTACACAAGACTGTTCCCTGTGCTTGATAGTAAAACAGAAACTTGGGTAATGCTGTAATGTTCTAGGTTAACAATGGAAAATTACTGTTTAGAGTTAAAGGTTCTGGGAAGTAAGCTTCAATTATGATAAATACCATCTGTCATTGTCAAATGAAAAGAAATTTTTTTTGTACACCAATGGGTATAATTCAGTTTATAAATCTATACTAGAGGTAATGGTCTTAAACAGTGACGTACAATTATCATCCGAATGATATAGGCCTTCATCCCTCCCCATTTCATTTTCTTTATTTCAAATGTTTCTGTTATCACGTTCAAAGATCTAAGTCTAAATAAACATTAATACACAGATGTCATTATGCTTATATAATACTGCATGTTTGTGACGTTGCTTGTCATTGGACAATTGTGACATTTAAATAGATTAAATTTATATACACAGCTGATGTCAATTCATAAAGAAATCACAATTTTTTCTCTAAAAAAGGAAGTTTGATTTATTATAAATTTGTTATAAAGATTCCTGACAGGTTATATGACCTTATACAAATGACTGTTTGCAATATAACCCTCACCCACCAGTTCAGGTTATATATGCAAACAACCGTTTATATAGGGGCATATAACCAGTCAAAAAGCTCTATAACTAATATATATCATATGTCTACATGACACTGTGGCATACGTCATTAAAGTAAGAGGTTATATAATAACATACCATCTTTTAATACAAACAATGTTCCTGATACTTTCTGTCCAGCTAGGGGACCCTTCCCACAATAATCTCTGTATCCCTATAACAAACATACATAACTAGTAGAAACTTTCAAAAACTTTTTACTTTTTTATTTTACTTACATATTAAACTCTTTACTTACAACTTACATCATACACTCTTAACTTACAATTTTATAAGAAACATTTAAAAATCAACTTCAAATGATCCTACTAAACAATTACAATTACAAACTTTGAATGTACACTGTACAAGTCAAATGAGAATAAATATATACCACCTTTACACATTAAATTCAAACAAATACTTGGTTAGAAACAACCTTTGCTGCTTATCTCTTGTTAAAGACAAGTTCTGAACTTGCAAATTCGAGCTGCAAGTAAATACATATCAGCAACCATTGCCACTTAGTCAACCTGTCTTTTACATTAACATTACTTTTACCAATCTATAGTTTATACTTATTCATTTGTTTGATTGTGTTGGAAGCTATAAGCTTATTGAAACACTATTTAATCCATTCCTGTTTCCACTTGCCAATCTTTAACCTTATAAGTTCAGCTCTCTGAAAGTTAGCTGCAACAAAATGTCTATGCTACCTGTACAGAGCAAGGTCAACTTGCGGAAAGGATTATTCTACCATGTACACAATGATGTATGACCTGTTGCAGACTAAGAATCAACTTGGCCACTTGAGGATCATTATGTCAGGGAAAAAATTCTATAAAATACATGATATACTTACAGTTTCAATTGAAGGTATGTAATTCTTTGGTACATTAGTTCCCACTGTTTTATCTTTAAATTCAATCTTGGTATTATTCTCTACAGGTAAAGGCTGAAATTCAGTAATAAATACAATGAATAAATTATTGAATGGCTTTAAATGCCCTTTGTTTGTACACTTGAGTATACATGTACTAGAGTACAGTATATCATTATCAAAATATAAAATATTTTTGCGATTATATTGGTAATTAAAAAGCAATTTTTGTCAAGTTTTTCACAATTATCAACAGAAAACCAAATATGTGAAATTGGTCATCATAATTGATAGTCTCTTTGTGAGATGAGTTTCTGTGGCTAGACACCAGGTAGTGATGTGGTAACAGCAATATTGTATCTATATCATTCTCATCTTGTGCTGCAATACATCAACGGTATTGCATTTATGTTCTATCTGTTACAAATAATAATCATGGCCAACAGCTTACAAAATATTACTTCATGACATGACATTCACTATCATTTTAATTAAAGTCTCAAATACAATGTCAATTTGCCAAATTCCTCTAATGAAAGTTTTCAAAGTTACAGACAGGTTTTCAATCAACCACAGCAAGCCTTCACACAAAAAGTAAATATAGCAAGCTAAATAAACTATGGCCAATAAACACAGTAGAGACCTTGGTTGAATAAGCCTCAAGCTGGCTGATAGGAAGATCACTAGAATGTCTGGAAATTCACTGTGATGAGGGGTTGTTGCCACAACCAAGGGCTTCTTGCCAAGAAAGATAGTTTTCTAAATCTTTAACTTACCTCCACAGTTCCAATAACTTTAGCATATTCACCACGACCACCAGACTGTTTCTTATGTTGATATTCAACACTGAAAAAGAACATCAACATGACCTTTAATTCACCTTTTCACATACTATAACTAGAAATGTGTCCACATAACACATATGCCCCCACTCCATTTGCATTTCAGATTGGCATTTCTAACTACCCAAGCTTATTAAATAAGTCTAAGAAACCTATTGTGAAAGAAAATCTAGTAATGGATTAGAAAAGAATTTTAAACTGAATATTTTTGCCTTAATCAAATTTCAAGATTATTTTAACACAGAGTTATAGTTAAGTTGGAATAAAATTATCCAAGAGGATTTTGGGGATGATGCATGATGTGACATACTTACTCTACAGGTGAAACTATACATTCTCTAAATGACACTTTAGGTTTTCCCATTATCACTTTACAGTTGAACTCCCTTTCAAGCCTCTGAAAAAAAGGATATGTTTTATTTTTCACTTTTCCGTTACAAGTGACCAGAAAAAAATCATAGTTATTTAAACAGTAATGAATTATTTATTTGTTTTTGTTTTTTATTCTGATTTTAACACATTATTGGTCATCTTTCTGAGCTGGTTGCACCTAAATGGCTCTCTGTGATGCTCGTCTACTTCACTAGTTATTAGCAATTTCTCTGCAAGTAACAGACTGCTAATCCCACAACTTCTGAATCTGTGATGAGAGACAAATGACCATTTAACTTCATATCCTAGATCAATATTTAGTAAGAAATTACAACTCAATTGCTCGAGGATTGAACCAGCATCCCTTGAATTACAAATACGATGCTTTTTCCTATTGAGCTTTGCAAGTAGACATAACTTATTCATGTCACTACTATAAAGCTAGCATAGGTAGTATTACTAGTTCAACCAGAATATTCTCACCTTTAAAGTGGACAGTTTCAAATTTAGCGCACAATAATTTCATACAAAAATTTAGCAAATGTAGAAGTTAATCTTCTTCAAGAAATTTTACATGAGTAAATAATATGTTTTTCTGTTTCTTTGGGCTTTAAGTAGTAGAAGTGTAGTAGAATCCTCACAATCATAAAATTCACCTGCTCCTAGAATTTTTTTGAAACCCATACTGGTGTTGACTGAATATCAAGATAATTAGACTGAGTTAACTTAATTCTAATCATCCTACCTTAATCAGAGTTAACCTATCTTAATCCTAGATACCTGCATAATCATTAGAATATTTTCCCTACCTGGCCATAAATATCCAGATGCAATTCTCCCATTCCTGATGCAATAGTTTCTTTTATATCATCATCCCAGTGAACTTTAAATGTCGGATCTTCTTTAGTAAATCTTGCTATTCCTTTTGAAAAGTTCTCTATATGTTCATTCTTGGCCGGTTTAATTGACATAGATATCACAGGTTCTGCTACATACATAGATTCCTGAATATAAAAATAAACAGCTTTTTTATCTTCAGTGCAGTTTTTAGTCAAAGTCATATGGTAATAGCCTGCAAGCTTTTCCACAAGAAAAGATTGCAAATACAACTTTGGCATAATCTAAGGCTTTTTAGAAGCCACTCCGATTAAATACCAACACTCCACGAATAGAAGAAATAGATTTGCTACATGACTTGTAATGTATAATATCAAACATATCTTTATCAAGTTTGTCAGATTTGCACCCACATAAATACACACTTAGTCTGCGTAATCAATGATGCACAAAAATGTGCATTTTGAACCACAAAACAGGCATTTTATCAAAAAGGTTAACAAACAGATCGAAATACGAAATTTGTTGAAGTTTCTAATATAACAATGTTGTATGTACAATACAATTCCAAAATCAACATCTAAAAAGCAACACACTCAATAAACAATTTGTATTTCTTTCATTATTATACCCCCAAAAACGAAGTTTGGGGGGGTATATAGGAGTCACCCGGTGGTCGGTCGGTCGGTCGGTCGGTTGGTCGGTCGGGCGGTCGGTCGGTCCAGACGTCCGTTGCATTTTCCTTGTCCGGAGCATAACTTGAAAACTAATGGTTGGAATTCAATATAACTACATACAATGGTCAAGCACATTGAGAGGAAGTGCAGTGCACAAGAACCATAACTCTATCATGACTAATTACAGAGTTATTGCCCTTTGTTACTTTTCCTTGTCCGGGGCATAACTTGAAAACTACTGGTTTGAATTCAAAACAACTTCATACAATTGTCAAACACAATAAGGGGAAGTGCAGTGCACAAGAACCATAACTCTATCTAAAGTAATTACAGAGTTATTGCCCTTTGTTGCTTTTCCATTGCTTTTTTTTTGTCCGTTGCATTTTCCTTGTCCGGAGCATAACTTGAAGACTAATGGTTGGAATTCAATATAACTACATACAATGGTCAAGCACATTGAGAGGAAGTGCAGTGCGTAAGAAACATAACTCTATCTTGACTAATTACAGAGTTATTGCCCTTTGTTACTTTTCCTTGTCCGTGGCATAACTTGAAAACTACTGGTTGGAATTCAAAACAACTTCATACAATTGTCAAACACAATAAGGGGAAGTGCAGTGCACAAGAACCATAACTCTATCTAAAGTAATTACAGAGTTATTGCCCTTTGTTGCTTTTCCATTGCCTTCTTTTTTTGTCCGGACCATAACTTGAAGACTAATGGTTGGAATTCAATATAACTACATACAATGGTCAAGCACATTGAGAGGAAGTGCAGTGCATAAGAACCATAACTCTATCTAAAGTAATTACAGAGTTATTGCCCTTTATTACTTTTCCATTGCTTTCTTTTGTCCGGACCATAACTTGAAGACTAATTGTTGGAATTCATTATAACTTCATACAATGGTCCAGCACATTGAGAGGAAGTGCAGTGCACAAGAACCATAACTCCATTTTGACTTATTACAGAGTTACTGCCCTTTGTTTCTTTTCCTTGTCCAGAGCATGACTTTAAAACTACTGGTTGGAATTCAAAACAACTTCATACAATGGTCAAGCACAATAAGGGGAAGTGCAGTGCACAAGAACCATAACTCCATCTTGACTTATTACAGAGTTATTGCCCTTTGTTACTTTTCCATTGCTTTCTTTTGTCCGGACCATAACTGGAAAACTTATTGTTGGAATTCATTATAACTTCATACAATGGTCAAGCACATTGAGAGGAAGTGCAGTGCATAAGAACCATAACTCCATCTTGACTAATTACAGAGTTACTGCCCTTTGTTACTTTTCCTTGTCCAGAGTATGACTTGAAAACAACTAGTTGGAATTCAAAACAACTTCATTCAATGGTCAAGCACAATAAGGGGAAGTGCAGTGCACAAGAACCATAACTCCATCTTGACTAATTACAGAGTTATTGCCCTTTGTTACTGTTCCTTGTCCAGAGCATTACTTGAAAACTACTGTTTGGAATTAAGTACAACTTCATACAGTTGTCAAGGACATTCAAAGGAAGTGCAGTGCACAAGAGCCATAACTCCATTTTGACAAAATACAGAGTTACTGCCCTTTGATACTTTTCCTTGTCCGGAGCATAACTTAAAACGTACTGGTTGGAATCCAAAACAACTTCATACAATGGTCAAGCACAATAAGAGGAAGTGCAGTGCACAAGAACTATAACTCTATCTTCAGTATTTATAGAGTTATTGCCATTTGTTCTTTTTCTTTGTCTTTCTGGACTTATTACAGAGTAATTCAATTAAACTTCATCAATGGCCAACCACATTGAAAGGAAATGCAACATACATGAACCACAATTATCTTTAATTGCCCACAACCATAACTCTATGTTTCAATTCTTTTACAAGGTATTCTGTTACTAGTAACATCCTCATTTCCGAAGCAGACTTGTGGGGGTATTAATCACATTTAGTGATAGTTCTAGTTTAAATACTGATTTGAAATACTATATTTTGGTTTTAAAGCAGAAAATTTAAAACTTCCGTCATTCTAATTAATGCTTGTAATCAAAATATTATCATTTCAACTTAAAGTAAAATCACATGCTAAACATCACTTATTTATATACATATTTATCTACTTATTTTGCTCTATTCACCTATCTTACAAGCTGTATATCACACCTTAGTGCAATAACAGGCTAACTTCTGTTGAATTTAATATGAGTTAACCCGTTACTGCATTTCCGTGACAATATTATGTATTAAGATGAGTATGTGACTTACCATAGATAAGTTCATATTTCCCTTAGTAACAAAAGTATCACCACTGGCACAATCCATTCCAAATAGAGCACATATATCGCCAGCATAAACCTCTGGTATATCCTGAACAATATCAAGTTAACAACACAAAATAGGTAAGTAGCATTAATAGTACTAAACAATATAGTTCAAGAGAATCAAAAATAAAGATATGGTCTAAAAATGAAACTTCTGAATTCATATCACTCCACACAACATAGTTATCCAAACGAAATACAGCCTCATTAAAAGAGTTCTGTCTAATCCAGGAAACATTTAAATTATACTCAAGCAGGGACTACCTTGGACTGAAAATTTAGGGAGAAGTGACTTCTCCCTTCAGGAAAAATAGGGAGAAGTTTTGAAATTTAGGGAGAAGTGATCATCAAATCGAGTTATATCATTGGATTTTTTTTTCTAATTTTATTTCACAAAATATACATGTACACCATTATATGTACATGCATATAAAATATACATGTATATGGCATGGAAAATAAACAAATGTGTATTTGAAAATCGCTATGATGATATTTAATGAAGTACTAGTTGCTCAATAAAGTTTATTTAAGCATTTGATTTACATTAATAACATTTTAAATTTTTTTTTTTAGGTTCAACAGTTTCTGACTCTAACTTTTAAATGCAATTTATTAAGAAGAAAAGTTCTTTAATTCATAATAATTATCCAAATTCTATCAATTTACATCAGTTTTAATGATGAATATTACTATCATAAATGTAATGGTGATAACAAACGTATATGGGATATTGTAAATCAAACAGGACATATAGGGGAACTAGTAAATCAAACAGGACATATAGGGGAACTAGTAAATCAAACAGGACATACAGGGGAAATTGTAAATCAAACAAAACGTTTAGGGACTACTGTAAATCAAGGGATATTGTAAATAAGACACAAATATACGTTTGAGGTAACTTAATTATCAATTAGCTTGCTTTTTCATGTTTTTATCATCTGCTGCATTCATATCAGGGTTTTTCACAGCTTTAATTTACCATATAATCACCGGCTATTTTTAGCGATGTGGATTTCCAAGTGTGAATTCCAAATGTCGCTATGGTCACGCTTCAGCGTGTGTGCTAATTACGTCAGATTACACAATTTAATCTGCCTCCAAGCAGTATTATCGAGTGGAGAAATATACATGTCAGACATTTCATAGAGATTTTAGGGCGACTAGAATTTTGCTTTTCATATCATATAGGGCGAAGTGAAAATATTTACGGCGAAGTTTTCGCCTGACTTCGCCCTGAACGCAGTGCAGTCCCTGCCACTATAGCACAAACTAGTGATTCATTTTAGTATTTTGTGGTTCTTTTGGATCAAAATAAGTGGCCACGCAAAGCATATAAAGTAATAATGTAATTATTTCTGACTGATATGTTCCAAAGGGGCTTACTCCTCAATATACGAGGCTGCACACTTGTTGCGATACAAGGATATGAAATTTACAACTTGATCAATTGTGCTTTTTGCATTATAGTACAAAAAGGCTGAAAAAATATTAAGAATAAAAGAAAAATACCTGCATCTCATCAGCATGCATTCTGACAAGTCTTGAGACTTTAGTTTTCTTGCCAGTCCTTGTATTGAAAATTACATCACCTCTTTGCATTCCACCTTGGTACACACGCATATAAGTAAGCTGACCAAATCTTCCAGCCTGTATAATTAAAGGGCACATTTTCAGATTTATGTCATGTCATAGTTTATAGCAAATGAACTATTGTGTAAAGTGGCATGACTAATTTCCTAACAAAGGAGAATCCAACATAGACCACAATATAATTTGAATCCTGCACAGTGTTGTTTGGGGTGGGAGTAGCATGATTCATGATCTGCTAATATAATCTTTAGGACACAGAAGTCAGATTAAGTTTCACATTGCTTGATTCTTTTCATATTTTTCACTACTTAAGGATTAAACATGTACCTGGGATAAGGTATATAATAAAACGGTCAATTATTTAAAGAGTATGATTCACCTAGAACTTGAAATTAGTTCACATAAATATTTTCTAAGAAGGATAATACTTGGGGCCTTCTAAGTGTTCTATGAGTAACCTTGGCCTAACACAATCTACTCAACCAGTAACAAATATTAGATCTACAAACATGTACTCTTAGAGTCAAGTTTCAACCTTTAATATAAAAATACCACGTATGATAAAATGAATTGCAAAATATTTCATGCTATATTGTCAACCTTTAATTGTTATGTTAAATAACAAGACCGTCTGCTGTTCATTTGGTTTTTTATGCCGATTAAAACATACATACATTTCTTTATAAAATCTTAGCTGTCAGCCCACCTAAATGGTTTTCCAGGATAACTAACCAGTGATTAGTAATAACCACTTTCCCAGCAAAATTAATGACTGACTACTAATCCCACATGATGTTTTCATCAGCAATGGGATACAAATGACCGTTACAATCAACGTCCAAGAACAATAGTCACAGATATATATGCCTCAATTTCAAACTAGCAATCGCTAGATTTCAAGTCCCATCCTGTCCCTATTGAGGTAAGCAGGCAGACATGATATTACAATCTTTATTATAATAACAATCTGTAATTTCATTACAAATTTTCCAAAAAATAATCACCTCCAATTTAAATGCAAGTCCAATAAATGGATGCTCTAAAGTTCTATCAGAATCCATGACAGTTTTCACTTCTTCTCTGAAAATAAAAACAATACAATTTCATATCTTGCTATTAAAAAAAGAAAGGAATACAAAAATACATCTTTCTGGATTTTATAAACCTAAACGCCATCAAATTTGTAAAATTGACATATCTAGATTTAAACAGTAAAAGTGTTGTGTTAATATGTAATATATCCATATACAATATGTGAAATAGTAATATTTTACTTATAATTCTCACATAATACAAACATTGTGGATAACAACAGACACTATGTTATTACGTCTCTTATTACTTTGTTATTTTTCTATCAATTTGAATAGGACAATCTCTTAAAGTGACCTTCAGCTTTTATTTCTTGTTGGAAAAACAATTCTGTCTTGTTTCAAAATAAGTATTTCAGTAACTTTATCTTAGAAAAGTACATCATATCACTATTTAACCTTCAACACAATGTCCCGAGTGCTATTTATAACACAACAGTGTTGTTCGTTTCTAAAAATAGAAGATCAGAAAATGAAGCGTCCGCTTTACTTACTTACATATAGAGAGTGGACTGGTAGATAAGAGGTATCGAGGGTTTCCCTATTATTTATATATTTAAAAAAACGGCATATTTTCCACCTTAATTCTTTCGATTTGACAATTATATGAAAAGATTGATCTAAAAATAAGATATTTAACCTTAAGAAAAACTGAAAGCTGCTTTAATTGTAGCACAAAACTTACCCAGAACTATTGTCCAAACAATAATTTGTGACCTCTGATGGATTAGGTAAATAGTCTAGAATTCCATTCAAGAGTGGCTGCACCCCTTTGTTCTTTAATGCTGTCCCTAACATAACTGGTGTAAACTCTCTCTTTAAAGTCGCTCGTCGTATTGCGTCCTGCAAATTGAAAACAAACTGCTTACAGAGATGGAGAAATAACATCTATTTTTGGATTATATCATGAATTGGGAAATCCAAATGCCAGGGTGATTCATTCCAACATGAACTAAACAAGATTGTTTAAAAATAGATGAATCTGATTCATTTCCAGGTAGTGCCAAACTTGTGTTAAAGACCACCTCTGAACAAAAATGACCCTGTAATTAGAAACTAATCATTGATTTAATAGAACAAAGTTACCCAAAAATAAAGGCCAGTTGTCTCAAAAGACTTTGTTTGGTTTCTATTTTAGGTGACCTTTGATCACAGGTTTAACTAACCAGCAACTCATCTCGTTAAAACTTAACCAATTTGTGACATGGACGCCTACACCAGGGTGAGTACAATAGTTATCCCTATTCTTCGATTAGTCAAGATAAAAATGAGTTGCAAGCTCATTCACCTACCATTGTTGTACCTGATACTATTGTCAACTTTTCAAAGTTAAGAAGACTCACAAGCACTGATCATGTTTTGAGGCAGTCATTATTGGGTTTTATTCCACACAACAAAGGGTGTTTACTAAGTTTTACAGTCGTAAAAAAATGTATTTAAGTCAGTCATATTGGCCTACAGACCTCCCCTAATGACACCATGCAAAGATTGCTTTATTGCTGCAGTTTTGTGAAAGTCTCAATATCTTAAGGCGTTAAAATTAAGTTTTTATGGAGATATAAAAAGATACTTTCACATACTGTGATACATTAAAATTATCTTATTTTTACATTGGAACAAGCAGAATTTGGCTTTATGAATAAGTTCTCCCATTGCTTACCATAATGTCTTGGTTTGTTGGCTCCTTCTCCTCAAGAAACATCTCTCCCAGGGTTTCATCAGCATTTGCAATGCATTCTGTTACAAAAAGGTAATTACAGAAATATTTATTCCAAAATTTTCACAAATTAATCATTTTGTTAGCTATTATTCTACTGTTTGAAAGAAAGAAGTATTTCTGCCATATACATGTAATGTAAAGAAACAGGCAATTACCTTCCAAATGAGCTTTCTCAAAATCTAAGAATTAATACTAACCAATTTGTCTATAGGTTACTGAAGCATTCCATCATAAAGAAGCAGTGCCAGAGACATGGTTTTTAGACTAATTGCCTTTTAACAAATCAAATACTTGTTACTGATTTTTTCTTTTAAATATTTCAATGACAATAATATCTATTGGCATCAAGAATTTCAATACCATGTGACTCTAAGCACTATTGCTTGTTAAATTTACCAAATAAATACATGTAATATAATCTTGATTTTACTGGGTCAGAACGAAAAAAGAAAAAAAGAAACAAGAGCTGCCAATAGGACAGCATGATCCACTATTCTCAGTTCTTCATAGTAGAACAAGAGCCTGAATAATTTCGAATCTTTTAAGTCCAAAAAGGGTTATAACTCTGTCAAAATCCATGTTTGAGTTATGGGTTTTGGACAGTGACCTCCTATTATGCTCTTAAATAAGTGTCTGAAGTTTTAACCAATTCCCTTCTGTAATTTTTGAGACACTAGAACATCCCTGTATGCAAAAACTTAACCAAAGTGTGATGACAACGGTGACACCTGGGTGAGTACAATAGCTCTGCTAATTCTTTGAATAGTTAAATAGTTGTCCAGCTAAAAAATAAATCCTTACCTATCAGTTCTTGTCTTTTGCTCACAGAAATTTCTTGCAGGTATTCTGGAATTTCATCCTCCACTACATTCATACCATGTGGGTCTTTAAAATACACTGCTTTCATTTTAACTAAGTCAACAATGCCTTCATGGTTTTCTTCTAGTCCGATAGGTAAATGTAGAAATGCTGCATTGTGATTTAACTTAGATCTAATCTGATGTAGAACACGTATTGGATTCGCTCCCCCTCTGTCTAGTTTGTTAATGAATGCTATACAAGGTACATTATATCGCTTCATCTGTCTATTCACAGTAAGTGTTTGACTCTGTACCCCACCCACCCCACATAAAACTAGCACTGCACCATCTAAAACTCTCAATGCACGCTCTACCTCTACTGTAAAATCCACATGACCTGAAATGATGCAATTAAGCACACAAATTTACATCACATTCTAGTAATATCTTTAATAATTTATTGTATGTATATATTCAAAACTTCAATTTAAGTTCCATGTTTTTTTCACTCCCTTTCTTATAGTACATGCATACAGTAACCCCAAACACTAATCTGCTCTCAGTAAGTGACATTGTCACCTCCTCATGAAACACTTAGTTAAAGTCCTATAGTTTTTCCCACCATTTATGTACATATCAAACTAAACCTCCCTTTTTTGGGACCTAGAAATGTGCTTAAAGTTATACAAGATGACTGCTTCCTTGATATTGTGACTGTTATTACAGTTGCAGATTCTGTTGTACTAAGTCTGCTCATGAAAGTTTATAGTTGACATTTGCAGACTCAGTTCACTGAACATGCATCTGTTCATTAAAGATAATGTAATGTGCAAACATTTCTAAAGCAGCCTAGCATAGGCTTACGAAGTATTCAGTCTCTAAAAGTATTGGGAAGGATAAGAAAAATAAAATATATAATTTACAATGAAGCAACTGGGGATCAAACTTGAATTTAAGAAAGTTATCACATACCAGGTGTGTCAATTATGTTAATATTGACATCTTTCCACATGACAAATGTTGCGGCAGACTGTATGGTTATCCCACGTTGTCGCTCTAATTCCATGAAGTCCATCTTAGCACCTACTTGATCCTTTCCTTTCACCTTTAAAAGAGATAGATTCTTTATCAAAATTTTCTAAGGTCAAAGACTGTATGTTTTTATATGATTTCCTCTCTTATAATAAAAAGATAGAAAGTAATCTTGTTGGAATCTTGTTATATTTCTTGGATTTCTAAGAGTGATGTCACTCTTCTATATCATATGAAATAACATATCTTAGGCCAAATGTGGTTTTAATATGGTTTTCTTCTTGTTATTTAAAACACATTTTGATAATATTTATTAACTATATAATGAAAACAATATCATAAAACTCTCAAAAGGTCAATTCTTCAAACATTTATCATTTGTCTTTGCAGAAAGCATAACAATATTGTAAATGAAAAAAACAAAACAATTCTACTCTAAGGACTCTACTCTAATGACATACCTCATGCATTTCATCGACCTGTCCTGTGTAAAATAGAAGTCGCTCAGTAAGAGTTGTCTTTCCTGAATCAATGTGAGCAGATATACCAATATTCCTGATTCTGTTTACATCTTTAATCACTTCCTATTATCAGATAACATTTAATTTAGGGTATTTTCTTGTCTATTGTAAGATGGGATTCAACATTAATGTTAAATCAGTATCATTTAAATTCATCTCTTTTAAAAAACAAATAGACTTTTTCTTAAATAAAGTTAAACTTTCTTCATTTCTTCATAAAACAAATATTTCTGAACACCCTTCAAAGAAGAAAACTTAAAAACATAGAAAAATCTGGTAATTACAAATTCATTAAAAATTCACAAACAAATATGGTTGATACACTATGCATATATCATAATATCTTTTGCCTCTTCAACATCATTATGACAGTAATTTAAAATACTATCCATTCCCCATACAGCATGCTCAACTTTTCTCAGAGCTGGATAGCATATATTTTTATAATTAAAGCATACTGGAAAAAGGGGCACCACTTTCTAAATTTTCTTCTTATGATGCCACACTTTGAAAGTGTAAGTGAACAAGAATTATGTATACCAAGTTTGAAGTGGATAACTTTGAAAGTTTTTGAGAAAACAGACTTAAATGGTACACACTTCTAACACTGACAATACTTGTAGCTCCACTATTTCTTTGAAAGATTCATCAAGTTGTAGAAGTTGAATGAAAACTTAAAACAAACTGTTAAACATGACAAGGGGTGAGTAGGGAGGGCTAGGTAACCCATATTACTCATCAAAAAGTCTATCTTAAAAACTTTAAGTGGAACTTTCTTATGATTGTGACAATGTCTTTATGGTGCGACTGATTGTCACATCTATAGGGTATGTTATACTTGCATCATCACAATTCAAGACAGTTAGGATTACATATATATACAAGCTTTACATGTTTTATTTTTCAGATTTGTTAAATGTTAGTAAATATGTTTTATGTCTCTGTTATTGTCGGTAAATAGCTTATAAGCTACTGTTCCTTGTAATTTGTAAACCAACTTAAAGTAAAATTTCTTGTTTTTATGTAATTTTTATTATATGCTTACCATTCTTCAAGTAGACAAGCTATTATCAACAAAACATTCAAGTATCCAAAATAGACTTACCCCAACTTTTTTAGTTGAATACAAGGCTGTTTGGTAAAAATAATTCTGCAATGAAAAATATTGAATCATAAATAAATCAGATAAAAAACTTTGTGGCAGTTGGTTTAAACTTGGTTTATTTAAGCTTTATTGCGAAACAAGTTCTTGCAACTTATATTAATCACTTTCGAGACCGCTTCCTTGAACCAACCAGTACTGGTGTCATATAAAGATACATGGATGTGACCCAATTAGGGCTCAAACCCATGATCCCTGGGTTGAGAGACAGACACCTTGACCACTAGGCCACCACTCCCCTTGAAGCCGATCATCAGCTAAAACATAACCTATATAAATAGTATATATGTTTTTAAACTGGTGACTATGAGAGAAAGAAATTTTATCTAACTTTATTAAATAAAATCAGATGTATTTGTTAATATTAAATAATTTGTACAAAACTAATTTATTTATTTACTAACTCTTTTCAGGGATGGTCGTACAAAAGATGTTAAAAAAAAATTGTTTTAAGAAAAATTGTGTGAAATTCATATGAGCTAGGTTGCTAATGTATGTTGCATGACCTTATTTGAATTTTGATCATATAAGATATACTGATCACAACAAAATCTGTGATCAGAATTAAAGTACTATCAGACAAATATTATAAGGATTATGTAGAAAATGGTGATAGTCTCAGATGTAAAGTACAAAATCTTTCAACAGAATGTTAAGTCAAAATAATGGTAGGATGGTCTCCTATGGTACCATTGTTCTTATTTTTTTCAGCCATGTTTTGAATGGGAACTTAAACGGAGTGCTCTATAATACTGTGGTATGTATTGTAAATTGATGGTCCTTTTTTGCTTCAGTAGATTCTTTTTTCATCAGAATAACACATCACTACAGTTTCAGCAGACAACTTGCACCTATCAGAACATGAAATTATCAGTCTAACTGGTCAATATGGGTTAAATAAAATCACACATGGAAAGCTTTAAATTTTCCTATCAATGACAGAAATTTATTTGAAATGAAAATATTTAAACAATTTCTATCAAATTTAAAAAAGCAGCACTTTATCTTTTACTTGGGCCGGTCTAAAACGCAGACGCTTATGCAGACAATATAGAATATATAGTAAAACGCAGACAATATAGATATAGAGTGTTTTCACAAAACGCAGACAATATAGAAATAGAAGGTGTGAATTAGACTCTTAACGGCTTGTCACCACTTTTTTTTCAGATTAACTTCATAAAATAAGAGATTTATAAGAATTATTTATTTGATACAAAAATAACATTTTAATTAGAGATTAGAAATGTTTTTATTTAAATGTTTTATTAGTATCATAATATCAACAATAAATATATAAATAGTGATTTAAGAAAGGTTTTTTTTATTCTATGTTAGATTTTAATTGAATTAATTTGAAATAAAATATTTAATACTAGCTATGCATAATTTGTAACATAAAAGAAATGTGGACAAGAAAGTAATATATTAATGGCTAATGCTTTTTGGCTGTCTCCTACTATACTGTACTATATATCTATAGTGTCTGCATTTTACTATATATCTATATTGTCTGCGTTTTACTATATATCTATATTGTCTGCATTTTACTATATATCTATATTGTCTGCGTTTTACTATATATCTATATTGTCTGCGTTTTACTATATGTTTCATATTGTCTGCATTAATCAAAAGTTGTACTATAAATATCTATAGTGTCTGCATTTTACTATATATCTATATTGTCTGCGTTTTACTATAGGTTTCATATTGTCTGCATTTATCAAAAGTTGTACTATATATCTATAGTGTCTGCATTTTACAAAATGAATTTAATCTTAAACAAATATGTTCTCTATAATATCTATAGTGTCTGCATTTTACTATATGTTTCATATTGTCTGCATTTACTATACATCTATATTGTCTGCATTTACTATATATCTATATTGACTGCGTTTTACTATATGCTACATTTTGCTGCATTTATCAAAAGTTGTACTATATATCTATAGTGCCTGCATTTTACTATATATCTATATTGTCTGCGTTTTACTTTATGTTTCATATTGTCTGCATTTATCAAAAGTTGTACTATATATCTATAGTGTCTGCATTTTACAAAATGAATTTAATCTTAAACAAATATGTTCTCTATAATATCTATAGTGTCTGCATTTTACTATATGTTTCATATTGTCTGCATTTACTATATATCTATATTGTCTGCGTTTTACTATATGCTACATATTGTCTGCATTTATCAAAAGTTGTACTATATATCTATAGTGTCTGCATTTTACTATATATCTATATTGTCTGCGTTTTACTATATGTTTCATATTGTCTGCATTTATCAAACGTTGTACTATATATCTAAAGTGTCTGCATTTTACAAAATGAATTTAATCTTAAACAAATATGTTCTCTATAATATCTATATTGTCTGCATTTTACTATATGTTTCATATTGTCTGCATTTACTATATATCTATAGTGTCTGCATTTTACTATAAGACTTTTTTCATATGCTACTGTAAATTAGGATATATATACTTAAAGTGGTTGGAAGTTTTCAATAATCATACTTTTTTAACATAACTGTATCAAATTATGTGTTTCTCTGCACACGGATTTACATTACAAGGATCAGACACTTTCGTTTAGCTTAAAGTCTCGTTGCGCGCATGCGCGGAATTGCACAAAGGATAAAGGTGTTACACGGAGCGCGAAATATGACAGATTTTCACAAGAGTATGTGGTGTTATTGCAGCTTTGTGAAAAATTATACATATATGAATGTATTGATACAGTATTATTTTGTGCCGCTAAAGTATTAATATATGAAAATATGCCGATAGAATGATGCAACGCCTAGTTAATAGAGTACCTAATTTAGAAAATATTCGCCTATTGTTTAGACATACTCTCTACACTTTGACGCCCTTTTACTTCAAGCACAAATTATTACCGCGATTCAGATTAAGATAATTATTTTTTACATGGTTTAATGGGTGCAATGCAAAAAAGTGTTTCTTGATTGCTTAAAAACTTTTAAAGAAATTCATGTTTGAAATTTATCTTTATTTCTGTGATTTCTTTCCGAATGATTTGTACATTTTTTATTTGATTACTTGTATATTAGTATAAATATAGTAAATATTCTACTAATTAGTGTATTAAATATATCTTCAGATTATTCTAGACAAGCGTTCATATATAGATGAATTCATTAGATTGGCAAAGAAGAAACTTTTATTTGCATACGGAACAGCTGTTTTATAATATTTTTTTTTTATTTTGAAACAGATTTTTTTTCATAGTTATCCTTCACAATTCACGTCAAATGATTTATTTGTAATATGTTTATTTTCATTATTTTTCACAGAAATGGCTATACAAATTTAGTTGTATATTTTCTATTTCATTTATAAATGTTAATAAAAAAATAGATTTACATTGTATTTATATATATCCTTTTCAGAATCATTTTCTTATCACACATACCATGGACTGTAGTTAAAGACCGCGCACATACAAAATATACATTCAAATTCTATTTGTTTTTGAAGATTGAGTGTTGCAATTATCACATGTAACCTGGTAATGAAAGTTTGAAAATAAAGTTTTTCAATTATCACCGTGTTGAGCGAATTGTAAAGCCCGCAATACATTACCCGTAAAACAATTGTGCGTTAATAAATTTGACTACATGACCCAATAAATCTTAAATATTGCATCTTTGATCATCTGTGAATAACTTACATCGGCTCCTTTTTTATTTTGAAATTGAATTTATTATGTTACCATAATAATAAATTTCAAATACCTGCTTTTTTATATAAAAAATGTAAATTTACCGCGGATTTCGCCAAGTTAATTTTTTAATCGTCGTTGCAGACAGATAAACTGTAGCTTTAAAAAATAAATTAGATATTTGAATTAAACAAGTATTTTTCTTCAAAATAAACTTTAAATTTCTAAAATCGGATAATAAATGGAAAAGCTATATGGTATTTTGTAAAGTAGGTATCCGTTGCGAACGGGCATTTACGCTTAGTACCGGTAAATTATCAATCGATGTACCTTTATCGGGTGCACGACAAGATATTTAAGCATTTATATAGGGTTAACTGGGAGTGTCCGATCCCTGTAATATAAATCCGTGCTCTGCAGAAACAAAGAGACACACACATTTAAATTAAGTGGCAATATACTAATACACAGGATGTGGTCACACTTTCCTTATCAACAGGGGACAAACTGTGGTGGTAACTCTAATCCCTTTGGCTAAAGGCAATTAATTATGCACATGTAAAGTGACACTAATCTAATCAATTTCAAACAATCATCAACAACTTTATGCAATCATGAAGCATGACATAATTAGGAAATGTCTGCAAAATTCATTTCACTATATATCTATATTGTCTGCGTTTCTTTGCAATTACTATATACTCTATATCGTCTGCATTTTACTACATGTTCTGCACTGTTAATTAAAGAAATATAACGCAGACAATATAGATATATAGTGAAATGAATTTTGCAGACATGTATTTCTTTTATTAACAGTATAGAACATATAGTAAAATGCAGACGATATAGAGTATATAGTACTTGTGAGAAACGCAGACAATATAGATATATAGTGAAAATGAATTTTGCAGACATGTATTTCTTTTATTAACAGTATAGAACATATAGTAAAATGCAGACGATATAGAGTATATAGTAATTGCAAGAAACGCAGACAATATAGATATATAGTGAAAATGAATTTTGCTGACTTGTATTTCTTTTATTAACAGTGTAGAACATGTAGTAAAATGCAGACGATATAGAGTATACAGTAATTGCAAAGAAACACAAACAATATAGATATATAGTAAAATGAATTTTGCAGACATGTTTTTTTTTTATTAACATTAAAGAACATGTAGTAAAATGCAGACGATATAGAGTATATAGTACTTGCAAAGAAACGCAGACAATATAGTGATATGATATAATAAACAAGTGTTTTTTTTTAATTACATTTATATTTATATTTTTACATCTATATTGTCTGCGTTTTACTATATATCCTATATTGTCTGCATAAGCGTCTGCGTTTTAGCCTGTGCCCTTTTACTTTAATGGTGGAAACAGTCGATTGGATCTAGTGGTGTTCAGTGTATAAAGAAACACATTTTCTGAATCTGATTACATAGGAATGGGCAAGGACTAAGTTTCCCTTGGGAGCACAGGTGTTTGGCGCAATGATTGGTAACTACACCGCAATTGATATGGTGTGTGTGTGGGGGGGGGGGGGGGGAATGATGAGACAGGTCAATTTTTAACCAATGTAAACACCAGCAAAGCTACAGATAAGCAGGTATCTGGGAAATTACCCAATAATTTGGACCAATTTACCCAATAAAAATAAAATCTTTGAGTTATAAAAAAGCAAATCAAAGGCTCAGTACCCATAGAAATGTAAATAAAAATGAAATCCTTGCAATTGTGGTTACGAACAGAATTGAGGACGAAAGTAATTTACGTAATTTTTTTTTCTTTAGTTTATGATATACCTTGCGGAAAATAAATGATCCATGTTGTAAAAGATGTTTCGAATGTAAAAGAATCTTCATTGTGGATAGCTTCATACAAATATACTGAAAATTAGTGCAATATAGTTTTTTTCATAACCGGTGCATGAAACGCATATTGTGATCAAGGTTACCGCCTGAAACGCTTGAAATCTTGTGTGCAATAGGAAGCTATTTCACGAAATGAATCGAAACGACCAGTTCGTTAATAAATGTCAGTATCCTATTGGAAAGCAAAATCCCGTACTGTTATGTTCTATGAAATAATTTACAATCATGAAATTTTGCTAATTAATACCATCTGTTAACAGAACAAGAAAAAAAAAGAACAACAGTAGGCCTAATGGCTAAAATTATAATATTGTCAAATTTAAAAACTCAAAAATCCTAGCTAAACACACCATGCTTTTCATATCCAAGCATGATTACAAATCCTTAATTTTGCGCAGCAGGGTCTTTCAAACAGAATTCTATTTGAAATACCCTGTGCGCAAACAGCAGTCTGTTATGATATCAAGATTAGATAACTCTTTACATGTTTAGCTGTATAGTTAATGGGATTACTTCCCTTTACTTGATATTCATTAATGCTATGTTATATATATGATCATGCCTCTCTGATACCTGGGCATTCTCACTTGAGCTCTGGTCTTAACAACATGTATTAAATGGTTATAATAAATTGTAGAATAGTTTGAATCTTGTTATCATCCATACAACATAACACAGTCAAAGTAGAAAAATTCAAATTAATTGTTACCGTGCCTTTAACATTAATTAAGTACTCTACCAGTATCAACATTGGTGAATGAATTCAGCAATCATTCTTTATATATACATGCATGTACAAAGTTTTTAATTTTCCGCTCTTGTAAAGCCCATTCAGAATTACGGACAGGGTGGACCGTTAGACAGGGCAATTAGTTCGACTATTGTGCGAGTACCTTTAAAGAGAGACTTAAATGATGAAAATAATTATAGAGGGATAACACTTACAAACGTTTTTGCTAAAATTTTCTATTAGATAGGCCTAATAGATTTAGAAAATGGACTGAGAGTAATAATTTATTGACAGATGTACAATTTTAATTCCGTAAAGGAAGAAGTACAATATATCGTATTTTTGTTTTAGATTCTATCATAAACAAAATATTACACAATGAAAAAAGAAGGTGTTTTTAGCTTTTATTGACTTTAAAAATTAGTAATTTAAATTATCGTACTACGTACTTTATGTCCTACGACCACCACGCATTACCTTCACACATACTTAAAATTTCAAAGGAGTGTGGAATGCAGCAGAAGATTCTGATTCTGATTTTCTTTTGCACTTAGAAATGTATTGTGTTAAAATTAATGTCCATGCCTGTTTATCATTTGATATAACTTACATAAAAAATAAATATGCAAACAATGAGCAACTATACCATATACGTACATTATTTAACGCTTTTTTTTTTTTTTTTGTTTTGTTAATATTGTTTTTTTCCGACCGAGTGGTTTGGGTCGCTTGCTTCAAACTACTTGCCCGTCACCGCCGTTGGTTAGAATCATGACAAAATTTGAGGTAGCTATCGAGCTAGCTTACGGAACGTCTGTACGTGTTCCTATTCAGGTGCCAGTTCGTGTCTGAAATAATGCACGGAAGGACACCTGGTATAATTCCTCCAACATTAAGCTGGAAAGTTGCCATGTGACATATATTTTGTTGGTGCAACGTCAATTCAAACAAAAAACGAAAACAAATCAATAATATGGATTGTCCCAGGCATTTGAAAACTTGGAATTGTACTTGTATCATCATTGTACAAAAATGTAGGTGATAGAAACGGTCCAATAAATAACCATTTTAAGGTTGAGAATGTCATGAATTCTCTAAACAAGGACAAAGATGCAGTTGGAAAAAGACAAAAAAATCACTAAATTAAGAACGCCCAAAACGACTAGATTAAAATGCTGCAGGCTACCCGGTTTGACTGAGCCTGTTTATGGACGGTAGTTGTATTAGCAAACAACCGTTCATGCCTACTAGCACCGGCCTATGCAGAATTCAACATTAAACCAAAAATGGTTTAGAAACATCTACAAATGTGTCCATACGGCGGTAAACATAAACCTTTCAATGTGACACTTTCGTGTCATTCCATGATAAGCGGCGAATGGTCCAAAAGTAAAAGAAAACGTCTGCCCTAAACGAGAAAACAAAATCTTACAGAACAGTTGACCATATATTTTCGTTGAAAATACTTATAAATTATTACGTTGGTTCTGTATTATAATTAGTAGATAGTATAAAAATTTAAGGCTTTTTACTCCAAAAAATCGGGTTAACTACTACCACATAACATTGATAGAAAATAATTTGCAATATGTATTTAAGATAAAGCCAAATCATGTGTTAATGTAAGCAATACTTTTTAACAGGCAATGCTGCTGTCCAACAGGGTAAACATTTGCTCCTTGTGTTGAAACCAAGCTTCTTGAACGATTTAATTCAGTACACATTCTAGTCTTGATATCAAGGTATATACTTTCGAGTGTCTTAATACTGATGAGCCAGAGGCTTCCATAATATAATTTTATTCAACTCGTGCAATAAATACAGTATTGAACTTACACCCATTCAATATTCTCTATAAATCATAGGATATAGACCAGTTTACAGTACGATTTTTCCATAGCAACTCCAGAGCAACGTATGTTGTATTTCGCGCATGCGCATTCTGCGTAGGGCAAAAGCGCAATAACGATAGCATACCTTTAGATTTCAAGTTATGTCACCCAGAAAAAAGATATTTTGGGATGAATTGAAGCGGTAAGTACTTAAAACGTGTATTGATATTTATAACACATATACAAAATTAGCGGGACTTAAAATTCAACGACCAAAAGTCCTCTGTTAAAGGTATCATTAGGTGACTTTTTCACCATGATTTGAATTAAAACAGCAGGGTGTTAAAGATCATATTTTATTACCCATGTATTACATAATATTACACAATTGGTATTCCTTTGAAAGCGGATTGGCAAGGCGGTAAGTGTCAAACAGATTGACACGTGACCGGTTGTTATTTGCCAGCTACTTAACAATATCATTCAACCGGGTCGTTTTAGTACCATGTCATAATGAATTACTTAAAATTATGAAAATGATTAATCGTAATTTAAGTAATTTTTATTCAAACAAATCTCATCAATGTTTATTGATTTTGTGAATTGGCAAATAGTGTACCTGACGTGCATTTCCATGTGTTACAAGGAACCGGACAAAATGTGTGTTATTCCACCACCTATCTTAACTTCACAAGAGTTTGAAAAATTATTTAAATATATTATGTGATTTAAAAAAAAAATCTGTTTGGCATCTCAGTCCAGTTGGATGAAGGATAAAAATAGCTAGACTGAAAACTAAAAATGCATTATATCACGTGTTTCTTCTATTTTCAGAATGATATTTAACCTCGATTTTAAATGTTAATAAAATTTATATAAAAATGTTATATATTATATGTAATATTTTTTTCTAATATGGACGTTTTCAACAACAATTGAATTGACTTCTTTATTTGCTAATTTATATATCTCCACATATTTTACAACAATAATCTCAATGTCAGGTCAGTGATCGTAAACATGCCTTTTCGGGGCAATCTTGGCCACAAAGCTATGAAGGCATCTTTTGTGTTTCTGTTAAATGCTATTTTATATGATTTTCTAATTTTTACCTTAAACAAACTCGAAATTGTCTATGAATTTCTACTTCATTTCTATGTAGGGCATGGCCTTTTTTGCTCTACGCAAATTGCGCATGCTGGTCACAAACCCATTATGTTGGTTTTGTCAGGACGCGGCTCATTTATTTTGCTAAAAATTATTACTTGTATTGATTACAAGTAAAGATAGAAATTATTATTGATTCAAATTTTGAACAAATCGTTATAGGGATTGAAAAGTTACAAAAACTTGTTAAATAGGATTTTAGAAGTAGAACGGGACGTGGGTTTTATTATTTTTTTTTTTTTTGTTATTTTTCTTTTTTCAATTTTTGATAGATTTTTGGATTATAGTTCGGATTGAAGAAGAATTTTTAAAAATGTTCACAGAACATGTATATAAGATATACAATTTTTCCAATCACAGCATGTTACATTTTCATAAATAAAGTTGAAGCAACCAGTCGATTATTTGCTTTGTTTTCAATGCCCTCGATGGAACTTTTTTTTTAAAACAATTGTTTACATTCTAAAACATATGTGTGGTATAAGTAAATTTTGTCAACCACTTTTAATAAATTACCACCTTTAATTTAATTAAATGAAGATATATATCTTAAATTAAGCTAAAATTAAGTTAGATAATGATTTTAGTGAGGAAGCATTTAATTGATCTATATATATATAACAATCATCATGGATCCAGACGAGCCTGCGCATCCGCGCAGTGTGATCAGTATCCATGCTGTTCGCTGCTTGCAGTTTTTCTACTAGTAATAGTTTGTAAACGAACAGCATGGATTCTGATCAGACTGCGCGGATGCGCAGGCTCGTCTGGATCCATGCTGGTCGCAAACCCATTATGTTGTTTTTGTCGTGACGCGGCTCAAATGTTAAAATGATTCATATGAGATTGCTTCTCATGATTGGGCTGCAAATAATTTTTCGAGATATATGAACCGTTTAATGTAGTTCCAGATCAACAACATTTGTGCAAATTTCAGATCATTCGCTATGTTTTTCCAAAATAATTATTCAACTGTGAAAAATCATTCAAAATTGAAGCGTTGCAAACTCAATTTGGGCTGAAATAGCATAAAATACAATTTCCAACTTATTGTGAGTATATTTCTCAAACATATTTTGCATATATTTCCTGCACCAAATTTGATTATAATGTCAAATTCAAATTTAAATGTTTTTTAGGTAGTCTAACTTCTAATGCTTGTCCCGCCAAAGAAAATCTAATCGGCCAAATATTGTAAAGGCAAATGGTTATTTTCCGGAACGTTAAATAATTAAGAATATTTAACAGGGACATCATCTTTTATCGGCCGATAATAAGGGCGGTTAAAAAAAATTGGGAAATACCGGGAAGATTGTGAAAAATTACTTCCGGAAATGACCGCTTTATTTCGAT